GGGCACCCTTTTCGATCAGGTATGGACATGGGTCGCCCATAACATGAGACCATTACAGCTATGCTGCCCCAAGAAAAACCTTTTGTGAGAGTTAACGAAATGAGAAGCAGCTCTTGTGTTTATTGTAGGACTATGTAGAACTTCTTGTGAGTAGTGTCTTTGGAAAGGAAGGTGATCCTTAGCAGCCGCATCAATATGGGGGACACATGAGGCACGGGCTCTAGCGTGTTCACATGACCTCCAGTGCTTGATGTGTGTCTGAAATCATCCTTCTCACTTAGGTAGCTGCCGTCAAATTAGTCGCGCAGCCAGATCCAAAGCAATATTTCAGAGATCATTTAGTCCGACAGCGGGGCCTACTATGGCCCAAGCGAGAAAGGAAGTGGAACGTCAAACTACTTAGAGAGGTATCCAGGCTATATCTAACTGGGCACTTCCAGGGCTTCATCCCATCTCGGGCTGCGGGGACAACCAAGTTTCTCATCAATGAACGAGTGACAGCTCCAGCTTAATTACCGGTTGCCCTGAGTGTAATCAAACATATATTCTTTGGTTTAGGGTTTTCCGTTTGTCGAAGTTCGAGCACCTTTGGTGTGTGCCCGTAGTATTTCTCATTGCGAACATAATATGCCAAGCATTAAAAAGGAGCAGCTGGCAAACCAGTGACATGGTTGTACATACTGTGGTTCTGGGGTTGATGGGAAGAGCTAACCGCATTAAGTAAAGGAATCCTCCCAGCTCAGCACCCATCTGCATATCCATGTACTCGACTATTCCAGCATTATCACGTGAAGTAGGCTCATAGTCTATGAGATCGATGATTACCCAGCTAAGCAATACTGTCAAAATTGTCGGTAGTTTTTTCTCCATTAGTAAAGGTCTTTATCTCAAGCTTCAGGTTTCCCCTCATCACCCGCCAGTCCCTCAATCTCTCCGTAGCTTTCTTCCAATGAGTTCTCTGTTGGACTACCTAGCCAGGAAATCAGATCCGATTGTCGCACTGTGTTCGGATCGAGTTGCACTAAGTTTGAGAAAGTTCTCTTCTGAATGGCATCCCCTCATTCTATGCAATGACAGACTGCGGCAACATGGTATAAAGCAGGGGTAGTCCTCGAGGACTGACTAGAATATTTTTATTATCTCTATAAACGTCGCATTGGTTCTCATAGCTAGTCACACTGATTCCACCAACCATGGCACTTCCATTCACCTACCACGCCAAGGCGCAATCTACCTTCAAGCCGCCGCTTATCGCAAACGAGAACGCCTTCTTGGGTGATGTGCAATCAAGGTATGGCTGACCTCATATACATATTGTGTTAGGTAGGTAGGGTAGGCAAGTTTGCTGACAACCTGCAGCGAGAACGAAAACCCAGACAAGCCCATCTCATGCGGCTTTTACCGACTGGAAAAGGGCACGCCCCTCGTCTACACCTACACCTACGACGAAATGAAGATTATCGTCGAGGGCAAGTTTGAGATTGCAGATGAGACGGGCCAGAAGGTTACGGCGACTCCGGGCGATGTGTTTTATTTCCCCAAGGGGGCCACAATCACCTTCACGACGGATGACTATGGGCTGGCGTTCTATGTGGGTACCCAACGCTGAATTCCGAATCTGAATCAAGGGCGAGACTAACGAAATCAGACTGGCCAACGGAAGCAGGGTGCTGCGTGAATAATAGAATCTTATACGAGCTCGGAATTAAATTTTATTTTCATTTCCTCTTAAATATTTGGGTTCCGCGGTTGTGATTGCCAATTATCGGAGTCCCCGTGCCTCTAATCCATGAAACACTTCAGCTGTGTTAGATTAACTATTCCCAATCCGGTAGTTTGCTTATGCCTCCTTGCGATAGCTTCAAGATTCCACATGTGATTGCATAACCCCTACTATGAAGTACCTACATAAAATAGATGTGCGAAGGTAGTGACCGGACAATTTTTGCTTATTCCCCCGGACACGGACCTGGACGTGCGACATTCACTAGTCTCATGAATTATGCAAAAGTCAAAAACAGAGTGTCCGACCACAGCCAGTGGCGGTCTCGTGTTCGACTCCATACTTCAGTCGATCCCACTTGAGAGGAACCGTCAAAGCACAATTAGCGATTGAAGTGGAGATGATATTCAGCTCGCCTCGATAAACTCATCCACTCTGGTGGGATCTAGTCGGGTTTGCATCAGCGTGTATGACGTGGGGGGTGTTGCTACAGCAACTCCGTGAGGAAGGGGATATCGGGGCGGGATGGAGTGGATTGTAGAATTGAGAATCAAGATCCGTTCGATCTTAGTGGAGAGAGATCGACTTTGAAATAATAAACATAAACCTTCAATATTTCCTGAGACAAAGGCATTTTCTTCCTTCCTTTTTTTCCCTTTCATGCAAACACTTTGGTCACTTTGCCTTTGTTCTTGGGTTAGTGCCAACTAGTCCCGGCCTTATCACAGGGGTCACAACCAACCCCTCTATCGCTCCTCCATCAACACCATGGCTATTATTTCAGAGGACCATCTGGGTCTACGACTCCCTAATCCACCACCCCTGTTGCATACCCGTGGTCAATTCGATCGCCCCTCCACTCCTGCCGATGGCTTTACCAGTCCCCCACAAACCCCCCAGGGTAGCCCAAGCAAGTCAAGATTGCCTCCGGGCGCACTCGACCTACCCAATGTCTTCGACAAGGCAATGAAGTTGACTCCCACTTCACCCTCCAAATCGACGTACAACCACTACAATCATCCAATGTTCTCTGCCGGCAAGAGTGGCGAGGACTTCAACGAGAGCGTTATCCACCAAACCCCTTCGAGCCCAACGCGCAGAGCCGACAAGGAGAACGCACCCCCCAACCCACCGCGTCTAACCAAAGAGCTGGGATCAACCCCAACTGCTGCAGCCCTTTCACGTCAGGAACCATATCAGCCACGCGATGAGACAACTAAACGTCAGGTCCAGATGCGCGGCCTGACGCCCGAGGAAATGGAGAAGCTAGCACAGCCCAAAGTGAAGCGCCTCGTCAATGTGACCCAACTCTGTAAGTGCAGCCCAGCATAACAATCTCAAGACGGATTGACTGACTTGCGCATGGCAGACTTCCTTGACCATTACTTCGATCTCCTCAGCTATGTTCACAATCGCCAAACCCGCCACGCACAATTCAAAGCCGCCTACCCCGACCCCCCTGCCACCCCTGACCAAGAGCACGAACCCGCCCTCCTAAAATACCTCGGTCGCGAGCGCGCACATCTGCGGAAACGTCGCACACGCCTCCGCCAGGGTGACTTCCAGATTCTGACTCAGGTCGGCCAGGGTGGGTATGGACAGGTGTATCTGGCACAGAAGAAGGATACGCGGGAAGTGTGCGCGTTAAAAGTTATGAGCAAAAAGTTGCTTTTCAAGCTGGATGAGATTCGTCATATCCTGACCGAACGCGATATTCTCACTGCGGCCAAGAGCGACTGGCTAGTCAAGCTGCTCTATGCCTTCCAGGATGATACGCAGATCTACTTGGCCATGGAGTATGTTCCTGGTGGAGACTTCCGCACGCTGCTGAATAACACTGGTGTTCTCCATAATCGTCACGCCCGCTTCTACATTGCTGAAATGTTCAGCTGCATTGACGCGCTCCATGTGCTGGGATACATTCACCGTGACTTGAAGCCCGAGAATTTCCTGATAGATTCCACAGGCCATGTCAAGCTGACTGATTTCGGTCTGGCGGCTGGTATGCTGAGCCCGGGCAAGATCGAATCGATGCGCGTTAAGCTTGAGGAAGTTGGGAACACGCCTGTTCCCTTCGGTCGGCCCATGGAACAACGTACAATGGCCGAACGACGACAAGGATACCAGTCTTTGCGCCAGCGGGAAGTCAACTACGCCAAGTCGATTGTCGGATCGCCGGATTACATGGCGCCGGAAGTTCTCAAGGGCGACCAATACGATTTCACTGTGGACTACTGGAGCTTGGGATGCATGTTGTTCGAGGCGCTAGCAGGCTACCCGCCCTTCGCAGGCGCAACCGTCGAGGAGACATGGCAGAACCTGAAGCGCTGGCAGAAGGTGTTGCGGAAGCCCGTCTACGAGGACCCGAACTATTTCTTATCACGGCGGACGTGGGATCTTATCACGAGACTGGTTGCTGGGAAAGACCAGCGGTTCAAGAATATCAAGGAGATTCATTCGCACGACTATTTCGCCGAGGTCGACTTCGAGAGTCTGCGGGAGCAACGGGCTCCGTTCGTTCCTGAACTTGACTCCGAGACTGACGCTGGCTACTTTGATGATTTCAGCAATGAGGCCGATATGGCTAAGTACAAGGAGGTCCATGATAAGCAGCGCGCGCTGGAGGATATGGCCGATCGCGATGATAAGATGGGCAAGGGCTTGTTTGTCGGATTTACATTCCGGTATGTTCTGCTCGAATCCATGCCGACTAGCTTTCCTTTGTATGATCGTTCTCTTACTGACCACTCTAGTCACCGGAAACCCGCCGTCGACAGCAACGGCCGCACCAGCTCGCCACGGAAGCCTATCGCGACGGATGGCACATTCGGGACAATGTTCTAGGTTCCTGACCAAAATCCAGATTTCACATTCATATTCGGTCGACCTTTTTCTCTTCTTACGTTCGGCTGGCGCGCGCGGGACTCCGAGCTGGATCTTGGTTTCCTCGTGCCAGATGTCCCGGTATTGAGTTTAATCGCTCATCTTTTCGTCTTTTCTCTTCTTTCTGTTTTAACTTCAACTTTATTTTCAACTTGGCAACTTGCGACACGATACGTCTTCTCGATTCCGTTCTAGTTTTATGATGCGCGAGGAGTTGAGGGATTCGATTCTTGTATGATACAGCCATAGACCAAAAATGGCGCTTTTCTTGTCTTCTGCTAGTAATGGTTGCATTGTATGGAATAAGGAATATGAGTTTAAGTTCGATCGTGATCAAATGTGGAGTGGACTATCTGTAGCGCATAGATCTTCTCGCAGTAAAGCATCGACTCTTTTAGTTTACAGGAAGCTGGCGCACCATGCGCAGGATCTCGGACTGGTCGTCTCCGATGACAGCGCGGCCATTGACCCAGTCAACGGTCTGTAGAGCAGAGAATTAGTATAACACATCTCTAGAGAGATCTCCAACAAGGCGACGAAGAAAGGAAAGGTAGAACATACAATAGGCCTCACGAAATTCTCGTTATTCTCCTTGAACTTCTTCAACGCATCCTCCGCATCGCGGGCGCCCTTTACCAGCTCCGCAACACCATACGTCACCTTCTCGCCCGGACCACCGACACCGCTAACGGGCGAGATGTAGTCGAGGATATTGCGAAGCTGGTCAGTTGTCGGGGGCGAGGTGGTAACCTCCAGCTCGAACTCGCCGCGCTGTTGCTTTGCGTGGCGGGAGTGATCGCTAGCCTGGTCTTCTGTGGCAGTTTCGCTAGCGGTTGTGGAAGCCTGCTTCAGGATGTTGAGGGTCCTGGTTGATGCTTGGATGGAGGGGGAGTGGAAGAGGGTGATGGGGTCGAGGGTTTTGCTCTGTTTTGTGTTAGTGGTCTGGGAATTGGGGGAGATGAATTGGTGGGTTTGGGAGTCGGTGTAGATGCACTTACGAAGCGGAACATCTTGACGGTTTGGATACTTGCAATGGAAGGTGTTGGGGTGATAGAGGCTGGTGGAAGAATTGGAGTTAGCTTAGGCAGTTCCTGGATGATGTCATGTGCTGGCTCGGGTCGTCTCGGGCTAAGCTGCGTCCAAATGAGTCAACTTGATCTTCTCTTTTGAGCATACACGATGGACTACTAGACAAATGCCATGGAGGATACAGAATATTTTCAATTTGGGCTCTTTTGTTCCTCGAATGTAATCATCCTCCGCTTCAGCCGCATCAGTCTTGGAAGAGCGTCTGCTTTTATTAATCGTCATATATATTCCCCTACAATTCCAAGTCGTTGATACAAAATGTCAAGCAAGGGTAGCAAGAGCTAAACTGTGGTGATCCTCAGACAATATCTATCCATGCTTGCTAGCTGTTTCCACAAGTAATAACACTCTCGTAGAAAATATCCAGAATGGTTAGTCGTAATCTTGGACGACGGGACTATGAGACACAACCCTCTGGTGCAAGCAGAGACATCTCCCTACTAACCTTTATCCTACCGTCTAGAATGGATTTGAAACTTGTATGACCGACTTGGAATTCCAGTCTGTGCTGTAGCGTATCCCACTTTAAATCCGTGGGTATTAACAGGCAAATTCTGTACAGCAAGTTTATGAAAGTGGTGTTGATCTTCGCCTTATGCGTATACCTCCGAACTGGATAGTCCTTGTATAACAGCTTTTGTCAAAATGATCTCATCAATGCGGTGTACCCTCTGGTGTCGTGTCGTCTGTCTCTCGGCTTTCGAGGGTGAGGTTCTGTAGCCTTCTGGCGACAGCTTCAGGGTTGGCGCTAGTGGATGGGGTGGTGGCGCTGCCCGTTATGGCCGGGCAGGACGTGGTCGGTGGTCCAACAAATTCTGTTGATGATAGATTGACAGTTCTCCTTCGCTTTGAGGGAGGTACTCCAAGCGGCTTTCAGAGGGATTACCTTCAATGCGGGATTGTTGATCCCGTATAATAGAAAAGGCTCTAATGAGGATCGGGTTTCCGGGTTAGAAGATAGGGTAGTTTTTGATATGATTAACAAAGCGATTCCAGTGCTCGTACTCAGTCAGGTACTTATCTGTCGAAGCCTTCACCCAGTTCGGCGGATCTAAAAACTCGCAAGCCTTGGATTAGAGGTTGGCCAATTCTGCAACATCCTCCATTTCCTATAGGATTCGGGGCCGTACCGGGATTCTATCTTCGATGCCGAGTTCCATCCAGACAGAGTTCGCAACGGAATGTCTACAGCTTTAGCCCCGATCGGTAGGTTGGGATCAAACGATTCAGCTTTCTCAGGCGCAGTGATTTCTGCCTCCGTGCTTCCTCCCTAATTCAACCACCATGCCAAGTAAATCCTAGTCAATTTCTAAAATACGAAGGGCGCTTGATAATGTCTTCGTTTGTTTTATTTTCGATTCGAGGGGTGCGTTCAGGTAGCATGGTTTCTATGTAGCTCGTTGACGATCTTCCGCTCAGCTTGGCGCATCTTGTGGGTTCCGATTTCTATCCCACGGATATATTTTCAGGTTAGCTTAACTCGACATTTCCTCGGGACTGCCCATTCCTTCCGTTTGGCCGCACTGTTTGCTTGTCTCCTCAGTCCCCTAGTCCCTTCGTCAGCCACTCGTCGTATAAGAGTTCTAGAGCCGTCGGCCGGTCCTCGGGGTTCCACTGCAGGGCCATCCGTAGCCAACTCAAAAACCCTTCTTTGTCTTCTCCTTGAACCTTCTCAGCCAGGCTCTCGAGAGTAATGTCTGGAATCGGGGATACGTCCTTCCAGTTGCCCGACTCATCCCAGAAGACCGAACTGAGCTGTCTCTGTTCCCGGAATTCGGGTGACGGAGGGCCTAGCAGGGCAACCAGTTCTGCCATATGAACCCGATCATCAAATATGCCATCTGTGTTTTTGCCATTGATAAGGGTGCGAGGGCTAACGATGTCCCAGGCCTACATACATCAAAATTAGCACTCTAGTAAACCTAAAGTTAGAATATTTCCACTCACGACCATGGCGACATTCCAGATATCCACCTTGTAGCTCCAGTTCGATTTTAAAATTACTTCTGGAGCTCTGTAAACGTTCGGCATGATATCATCATTGTGCTCCTTATCACCCAATCGAGCTTCCCCGAAATCAGTGAGAAGTGGCAGCCCACCCCTTGGAAGGAATCCCAAAGACCTGTAGATCGTTCAATCTGTGAGCACCTTTCTAGGTGATGGGTCTGTGACCTCAGCCTCTTCGAATCGGGAAAGATAGCTCGTGTCTGCTCCGGGAAGCAGTAAGTTCTTCAGCTGAAGATCTGCGAGAATTAGGCCTATAATATAAACTGTTCAGGGGAATTGAGTGTAATACCGGTATGCATGACATGATGTGACACTCCGAATGTAGGTAATCTAAGGCGATAAATAGCTGTCGCATTGGTGGCTTCAGGTCATCAAGGGTCATTGCCTGCCCGGGAGACATCTTGACCAGAAGATCTGCACTCGTTCCGAGAGGCTCATGAACAAGACAGACGTGATGGACATGAGGGCCCTGGATGTAAAAATGGGCAAGAAGTTTGCGAATGAAGTTTCTGCCTCGATGCTTTGTTTCCTCCAAATTCATGTGCGTGTAGATATGCAGCTCTCGCTCGTGGTCCCGGTTCTGGCCCGTCACGTAAACTTTTAAACCAACGTATATTGATGTGCTGTATTATATATTGATATTATAATTACCGTCGCCTGGATAGCTTGAGACGTATCAATGGCACCTACATCAAGTCTCTCGCAAGCGAAACTGTTGAGGTTACTCCGTACCCTATCTTGGCAAGTGTTTGATACCGATCATTGAGTACCTCACCCTGATTGACAGGGTAGTATTTCTCCGGCTGGTATGTTGGCAGTGTCTCCTCGTCAAGCTCGATAGACTGGTCAAGCAACCTGAATCCCGAGGCGGGAAACTCTCTCGGGGTGCATGTCCATTGCGACGACGACGATTTAACTGTTCGATGCGGCACAAATGTCGTTCTCGGACCGTAGGGAGATTCGTTGATAGCAAGAAGTGAAGGGTAGAGACGTAGTCAAGCCCGTGCAAACACCAGGGATACAAATACTCCAAGCGTTTCGCGCGGCTCGCTGCATTATGGAGTCGAGCGAAGCGGGGCCCAAGGTAGGTTGGGAGCGTAGGCGAAGGAGGTAATGCGAAATACGAAACTGAAAGGAGAATAAGTCCAAGTGGAGTTTGATTCAAGAGTGCCTATCCATGAATGTATGTAGGTATCCATGGATGGCCCCGGGCTCGGGCCGGGGCGTCGAGGCAATTACCTAAGCAATTCCTGTTGCCCATGTGCCCAGGTGCCCAGGTTTCCCCTTCCTACCTAGGTAATACGCTAAATCAGTTTTGGGTATAATATTCCGTAATTGGTCTACCGAGGCCACTAGGTAACTAGTTATATATTAGTTAGTGTCAAGCAAGCTGAAGTGTCAATTACGACAGAAGATCAACATACCCAGTCAATAAAAGAACAAACACTAGGTTGCAATTTTCCATTCATAAACCGAAGTTCTCAACATGCAAGTAGATCCCCTGCGCACCAGTTCCCTTGTGCACAGCTCGTTCATCGCTCAGAGAGACCACGCTCCGGCGGACATCGTCTGCTAAGCCACGAGGTCCACACACGACCACAGCGCTTTCTCCTTCGGCTTTCTCCAGGACCTTGCGGATAATAGTTCGTGGCGTGGGACGACCAGAGAGAATATTGGGATAAATTATTGTTTTGTTTGCGAATTTTTCAGACCGAAGGGACTTCGCATTCAGATCAGCCTTCTCAGACTGGACAGGTGCTGAACCAGAGCAAGTACAGGCACAGGCGGTACTGATTTCCTCATCTTCGATTTGGGCAGTGCAACAGCAGCCTCCGCCAGGGAGACAACCCGTACCTGTTAGAGTTGATGTCGGGTCGGCAGAGACAGAATGAATGGAAATATTGTCTTTCTCGGAGATATTCTTGGTCTGATCTTCCGTAAAAATCTCCAGTGTTGGGGGAGACTGTGTCTGCAATGGTAACGAGGTAGAGATAGGCGTGTCTAGTTTTTCATCACATGTGATATAAATGCTAATTTCAATTTCCTTCTCGAAATTTGAATGTTTGCGTCTGCACTCATTCACGTCTGCCAGCAGGGAATGCAGTTCGGAGTCAAAATAAGTCAGCTGAGAACGTGATTTGATTACCCAGACAAAACGCAGCCTCTTGGTGGCTGTTAGACGAGTGATACGAGTGGGTATCTGCCCCTTGCTGCCGTTGCTCTCCATCTTCCATGCTAATACCACATCCCGCAAAAGTGGTATCGTGAAGGTCGCACCCATGCCACCTGCCAGTAGTATAACACTGTCGAACTGACGCAAGGGCCGTATGCTTCCATATGGCCCTTCGATAAAAACTGTCGTATCGGACTTCCCTGCCACTTGTTCATCCCCCAATAAACTATCACTCTTCGAGGCGTACCGGAAAAAGCGTCTTGTACCCCCATTCTCGGCGCGAATAAAGAACTTCATCCTATTATCTTCTGGGATGGATGCGATAGTAAATGGGTGACATTGCAATGGAGCAACAGAGTGGCAAGTGAGGAAGACGTGCTGACCGGGTTGCCACCCGATACCCGGGTTTTCGATAGTAACGCAAGTGACATTTCCAGGTAGTGGAGTAAACATAGCCGAGTGTGCCCAGAGAGCTTTGGTTTTGTTCTTTCGGTGGAAAATGGCCAAGTTTGCATATGCACCCCAGGTGTAGCGAGCAAGTCTATCAAACACCACAAGCCCAATTGGGATCCATACCCAAATCTTGACTTCATCAGGCGCATGCATCCACACAGCAACAATGAAGCCAACAAAGGTGACTAGATGCTGGATGACGAAGAATTCATAACTGAGCGCACGAATCGGAGCGAAGGAAGTGATCACAATCAAGGTCAGGATAACCCAAGCGGCAAATCCACGCTTCGTCAACGGATCGTTATAAAGCTGGTAGGTGATATAATGCCAACGATCCCAATTGCGGAACCAGAATCCCATATGGATGGTGGTAGTCAACCACAATGTCCGGGCGACCCAGCGATGGTACCAGTTCAGACTGACGTAGCTCATTCCTGCCAAGAACCCAATAATGTTCTGTCTGCCTGCCAGCAGAAATATCAGTGGCAGCTGGCAAATGGCGATGAAACCAGTGCGGTAGCCAACATTCTCCCATTTCCATGGATCCAGGGCGTCCAGCTTGTAGAAACAAAGGACCATGACTACCACCAGGTTAGCTAGCATGATGAGAACGGGACCAAGTGGTGGGAAATGGAGGGTCAATCCTCCCAGTCGGAGCAGTGGTGGAGTCGCATAGCCAACTTCCCGGACTGTTGCTGTGATGGTGGCGTAGAAATTGAAGAACAGTGATTTTGGTTTGGCGGGCGTGAGTGAGGAATCTCGCAAGCTGATTACTGTTAGTCAAGATCACCGGAGGTCAAGGTCAAAAACATACCGATGACTAGCAAGAACGCGATCCAGCACGTTAACAAGTGTTGCTGCACCGATTGCACTTCCCACGACGGCCCAGTACATCTTCTGCAGGGTGAACAGACTTGGAACGCCATCGCCCATGGACATTGAGCCCGCAGGCATGTCACCCATTGACATGGACATCTTGTGCTGGAGTTGGAGTAGAAAGCATGAAATTGAAGCCTACAAAGCACTCGGATGTATATGGATACTCCCGTCAGCAATAACAGGGCAGATTACCAATATTATGCTCATCCGTGCTCACGCTGGGTGATGGTGGGTCCACCATGTGGGCACCGTTTTAGCTCCAAGGTTGTGGCCCAATGCGGCAATGCGTCAATGCGGCAATGTGTTACTTCATGCTTTTTATATTTTTTATATTTCCCCCTTGACATTCTCTTGAGTCGGGTCTCACTCTCTTCTCCATCAATCATGGAAGGCATGGAAGGCATGGATATGGGCAGCACCAGCTCCTCGCACAGTATGAGCTCCTCGAGCTCAATGGGCATGTCTATGGTATTCAAAAATACCCATGACACGCCGCTTTTCTCCGATGCTTGGACTCCCTCATCCTCGGGTAGCTTCGCAGGCACATGTATTTTCCTGATTGTTCTCGCTATCATCGACCGATTCCTCATCGCTTTTAAAGCAACTATGGAGCGCCACTGGCTCGCTACACATCTCAACCGACGATATGTCACTGTAGCTGGCAAAAGCACCGAAGCTGGCAACATTGACTCCGACCCGGACGCGAAAGTTGCATCGCTCATCACCGCGCAGGGTGTTGAGGAGTCAGTCAAAGTTGTGCACAACATCACTCATGGGCCAATGCCCTGGCGCTTCAGCGTTGATCTACCGCGAGCAGTTCTATTCCTATGCATTGTCGGCATATCCTATCTACTGTATGTTCTAATATCTACTAGTACTGATTGGATGAATGCTAATATCATGTCTAGCATGCTAGCGGTCATGACTATGAACATCGGCTATTTCTGCTCGGTGCTTGCAGGCGCTTTCCTCGGGGAATTGGCGGTCGGGCGTTTCATTCAAAGTAATGAGCACCGACACTAAGGATTTTGCATTTGAGTTTCTCTTACACATTGTATGCATGTCGATATTATTATGACGTTGAATGAATAGCATCTGTCTGGCGTTAGGGAATAATGTTGGGGTAATATGATACGAATTGACTCGGCTCAGAATTGTTCACATCATCATAAATCACTCTTTTTCCCTCGCCCATTCCACTCAAACCCTTCGTCCCTGTCTCCGGCCCTCGGCAAGTCAAGAGCTGCATGCAATCACATGACTAAGCCCTCTGCGCGCAATTGAGCTAATTTACTAGCCATATTCGGACTAGCCCACCGGGTAATGTCCACTCTTAGGGCTAGCGTAAAGCTTCGATTTACCCTTGGAGCAGGAAAAGTCCGAGCTACCAAAACAGCAGGTCCGTGCCATTCTGATGGAGTATAGTCCGAGATACAACCATTGCTGAGAATTGGGGAGATGTATTACAGTGTGCTTACGTGAGCGTATATAATTGTTAGGCATAGCGTCGCAAAGAAGCATTGGGAGTGAAGAGAGCATTGGAGCCGAAAGATCACTTCATGGAACACGATAGGGATGTCGGGAGATTCCGATGCATGCACAATCTCAAAGAGGAAAGTGTCATAATTGCCGATATATTGGATCCGACAGCGCTTGCGGGTGGACCCTGTCTTTTCAGGTCCCGCTAACTCCCTCACCTTGTATATGCAGAGCTCGTGTAGAAAGGTTGAAAGGGCTGAGTTCTCCCACTTTTTCTAGTACATTAACTCCTGTCTAATTGACTCATAAATTTTATACCTCTCCTCTTTTTCACCTCTCCAGCAATATACATACTCGCAATGAAGTTCTCCCTCCTCGCCTTCACGGCCATCGTGCCATTGGCCGCTGCACACTTCAAGCTGATGTACCCGACCTCCCGTGGCTTTGACGAGGATACTATGACCCATTTCCCCTGCGGCGGAATAGGCCAGTCCTCCAATCGTACTAAGCTACCACTGTCCGGTGGTTCATTCCCCGTCGCTCTTGAGATGCACCATGCCCAGACTGCCGTCGAGGTCCTCCTTGCTCTGGGCAACGATCCTGGAGACAACTTCAACATTGTCCTCTCGCCAACTTTCAAGGTCAACGGCCTTGGCGAGTTCTGTCTTCCTCACGTCGAGATCAATGAGAAATTGATCGGCCGTAATCTCACCGATGGGATGAACGCTACCCTTCAAGTACAGACCAATGGTGACCCAAGTGGAGGGCTCTATGCTGTACGCTCACTTGTTCTTCGTCTATTTTGGCTCTTCGTTGCGGTATACTAATGAAATACAGTGCTCCGATATCCAATTCTCCTCCGACGTCACATACCAGACACCATCAGCCTGTACGAATAACACTAATCTCGCTGCCACTGCCTTCCCCAAGGATTCTGCTGCGCGTAATGCCAACGAGTCTACCGCAGAGGGCCAAGCACAGAGCGGATCCTCGCCCTCTTCCACTTCCAAGGGCGCTGCTGTGCCGATGCAAACCGCCGCTTGGGGAGTTATTGGTGCTGCACTCGTCGGTGGCATTGCTGCACTGTAAAATCAGATTCTTCGACATTTTGCTCTATTTTCTTTGGTCTCAGGGTTAGCGATGTATAATAAACAATGATACCTTGTACCCCATCGTTTCCCGCTCATAATAACACAATAAGCGCCGCCTTTCTAGCTATGCCTACCCATGTTACCCACTAAATCTGGTATCCCAACCGCCCCCCTGGTCCCCTAGGTATCCGTGAGACACGTGCAGGGCAACTCGACACCAAGAAATTTCGGTCAAGCCTCGGGCTATGTAGACCCATTTGAAAGAATTTCGACGATTTATCGCCAATAAAATTGACTCAAACGCAATATACTTTGCATAGCCAGAATGCTGTAAGAGGCCCAGCCAATGACTTCACTGTTGCTAAAAGCTCATTCCTATCCTGTTGCTTTTTCTTGTCCATTTCTCTTCGATTCAAGGACCTTGCAAGCCTACAAGTATCCGTATAATCCAGCATTCCATTGTTGCCCTTCTACAGTAGTAGAAGAATCCCTTTCGTGGTGCAGATAGGACATATAAAGCGTCACGTGCGCGGGTAGATTAATAAATCAGGCAACAACATATGTAGGCAAATTGATCGGGGCCCAGTCTATCTTCAGACATTCTGGGCATCAACAAGCAAGAGACATTATTGGCTAGACGCTAGTGATATTCTATCATGGAGAACCTCCAAATACTGCGTCCCGTTGGTAAGTAGATCTCTGTCAAAAACGGTCGGAAACCTTTTCCGGGAGTCAACAATGCCTGACTACAGTCAGGTCGACTGGAACAATACTCAACGTCGCGCCATCAGATTGGGTTTTATTTGAACGTTGCTGTATCAGCAACTTATTTCCTACCAGATTCATTCGTGCTTCCTGTAAAAGACTACGTCTATCAGGCATGCGAGGCCGCAATCGCGGAACATCCGTCGCTATCCGCCATCGCGGCAGACGATCACACACAAGACCCCATTTTCGTGCGGTTGCCAGAGATTGATCTTGACCGAGTTGTATCTTTTCAGGATAGAAAACCAGGCTTGTTAAGTACCGAGGTGGATGGCGAGCCTACTCCAGATCTTGATCTGCAAACCTTGCTTGCAACCCAGCATAACACGCCTTTCAAGGCTCCAAATCCCTTCTGGAGAGTCTGTGTCCTGCTAGATATAGAGGACGAACGGCAATTCACTGTGGCATTTGTATATCACCACGCCATTGGCGATGGAACTTCCGGGAAAGCTTTTCATAAAACCTTCCTACGAGCCCTAGGCGCAGTGGAGTCCTCGGACCAGACTAAATCCATCATTAAGTCACCGCAGCTCCCTCTCTTGCCAAATATCGAGCATGTGCACCCAATGTCTCTTTCCTTGTCCTACCTTGCCAAGAAAATATTCCAGGCAAAAATCTACTCCCGACGGCCCACAGGTCTATGGACCGGCTCCAAGGTCCTAGTCCCTTCTCAAACCCGAGTGCGGCTCGTGCCATTCTCCAAGCTACTTGTCAGCACAGTAAGGGAAAAATGTCGACAAGAGGGTACGACAATCACCGCACTTCTGCAGACGATCGTCGCCCGCTCCATCTTCGCACATATCCCGCCTGAATTCACGCTGCTCGCCTGCACAGGCGCGCTCTCAAGCCGGCGCTGGCTGCCAGATATCATCACTGATGAGTCAATGGGCGTCTGGGTCCAGGACTACGAAGAGACCTATTCTCGGGCGGCAGTCGCGCAGTCTGACGGCTCCTTCCCTTGGGCAGAGGCTAGGCGGTCCGGTAAGACAATTCAGTCTGTCCTGAAAATGAAAGGGAAAAATGCCAGCACGAGTCTACTCCAGTTTGTCGATGATTTTCAGGAGGAACTGTGTTTGTCCAAGGTTGGCAAGGATCGCGAGAAGAGCTTTGAGGTGTCGAATGTTGGCGTTTTGGACCCGCAGACACATCCTGACCTACCTTCTATCAAGAGCATGGTGTTTTCGCAGTCTGCCAGTGTGATGGGTAATGCCATTGAGGTGTCAGCTGTCACTGGGGGAGATGGGTGTTTGGTGCTGGCTTTCTCTTGGCAGCAAGGGGTTGTGGAGGCTGATCTCGTCAACGAGGTCATTGAGTCGACTAAGCAGGAGTTATATTCTCTTGACGTGGTGTGATTAATGGGGGCCATGATTAACTAGGGTAGCGTAGCCTTTGTAATGTTTAATAATGCATCCATAGAATGGATGGATGAGCCCTGGAATTCATCTCCAGAGCTGTTATCAAGTGGGCGGTGAGATGGTGATAACCTCGGCGGCAGAATCGTGGGGGAATCTACAGTTCGAGAAATCTCACCAGTGTCATTTCACCCAACCCTTTTTTTGAGTCCCATAACATATATCGACTTTCAATATGACTCGTGGTCCCTACATTGTTCCGGCGCTCAAGAAGCACACCGCCACCGTCATCATGGCCCACGGTTTGGGAGATAGGTAAGTGTATCGTCAGAAGATAGACGATGGTATCGGGTCTAACAGTGTTTGAATATAGTGGTGCCGGATGGTATGAAAGTTCCCATAAATTACCTGGCCTGAGCCCATGAGCCTCGCTCCTGATCATCAATTTCTAATTTTTAACAGGATGTCCCTTGCCCAGACATGGCGCCGCCGCGGCAAGTTCGATGAGGTGGCCTTCATCTTCCCCAATGCGCCCGACATCCCAATCACAGTTGTATGTGAGCCTCCTCTATATCGATTGAATATCGATTGACGAAATATCAATTAGAACTATGGCAGGTCCATGCCTGGATGGTACGACATCTCCAAACTTGGCGGTGATGTGAGCCCTCTATTCCAAAACTCCTTCAATAAACCCGCCGCGCTAACCATTATTCTTTTCTATCTAGTTGGACTTCGAAGAATTCCTTCTCAGCCAGGACGAAGCTGGAATTATCCGCTCCCGCGATTACTTCAATACCCTCATCGAGCAAGAGATGCAAAAGCAGATCAAGGCTTCGCGTATCATCCTGGGTGGGTTCTCCCAGGGCGGTGCGATGTCCGTGTTCGCCGGTGTGACTAGCAAGGAAAAGCTTGGCGGTGTCTTTGGCCTGTCGTGCTACATGCTATTGAGCGACCGGATTAAGAACTACCTGCCCGAAGAGTGGGCGAACAAGAAGACGCCGTTCTTCCTTGGCCACGGTCTCGACGATAATGTTGTTCCATTCGCCTCTGGAAAGACATCGGCGGTTAAGCTCAAGGAACTTGGCCTAGAGAATGTTTCCTTCAACCAATATGAGTATGTTTTGGTCGCTGTTCTTCCGGATTGTGATAGCCTGCTAATCTGTTATTCCCATCTTGCAGAGACCTTGGTCACTCGGCGACCCCCGAGGAAATTGATGATCTAGAGAAGTTCATTGAGAAGGCCCTCGCTGAAGGAGAGGGTAATGCTTCTGCTGGCCTATGACTTGGTCATGATCAGAGCAAGAACATTGAAAGTGGCCTTTGGGGATATACCATGATCGTGGGCTTCATGGCGCTGCTTGCTGCTGTAATCTGGTCTAGATGCCAGTTGTCAAAACAGAAACAAACCAAACAGACACCCCATTAACCCCAGCCCAGGTCCACCTTTGGGATACAGAATAATGCAACTCATAGATGCCAGAGTCTGGCATACCCCAAAAGCCAGCCATACTGCATAATTTGGCAGCATGTGTTCATTTTACATGGTTCGATTTCATAGCTAAATAATGATAGGGCGCGATAGGTTCGGTCCTATAGAGGAAGTTCCAGGCCAGGAGGCTGCTAAGATGTAGGCAAAGTGCGGTGGCTAATGTTTTCAGCACCTTGGCCGGCGCACCCGTTGATGCACCTAAGTGATAGTACGTACGCTCAAAAACCGGTAGATGTTGAAGAATCCGTTTATATATATCTGTCTACGCACCATATCAATGTGATCGACAGCCCCAACCAGAGAGGCTGTGGCTCTAGTTCTAACAAATTCTGCAGGCTTTTGTGCAATAATACCAGGAAATAAGACTATAAAATCTACTTTTCCACCTGGTGTATTTTGCGGGCTTTTGGCCCGAAGGGGTCAGGGGATATTTCCGCCACGCGCCTAAAAAATTATTCAATACCCTAGCTCATTGGCCGGCTAACAACCCCGTCTATAGGTGGTAGACGCTTGAATAATTAGTATTCTATATTGTAGGGGAGAAGTCTCGATATTGATATGAATGTACATAGATCTGCCAGCCCGTCCACCCGCGGCAGATATCCGCATCTATCCTAGCACCTGGCGGGTCGGGCATGGACCTAGCGGAAAGCTCAAGGTGGTAATGTATCGAGTATATGCGGTGTGATTGCAGTAGAACGAGGCTTGCTTTTATATTATGGTATTGAGGAAACACAGTCCGGAAGTTGGTAGTTGTACATTGATATAAGCCTCAGATATTGAGGCTGTAGATGCAAAGATGAGAGAAGAGTCGAAAACGTATCGTACAGCCAATAAAAATCATGACATACACCCAGAGATATCCAAGCTTGAAGATGGTGTAGAAACTTCGCGCTTCCTAAGCCCCGGGATGGAAAAGAACAGTTGTGGGAGGAACGATTGAGTCAATGGCAGGAGAGGCGGAGGATGTTCGGAGATGTAGATCAAATTCTCTGTGTGGACACAGCATGATCACAGATCGATGGTAGAGGCGCGAAGATTTAGTCGGAGCATCATTTTGATCATTTTTCACCCAGCATCTCCTTGCGCATCTCCTCCCGTTGTGTCCGCGTTTGTTCCTTCTCCTGTGCGCGTTTTGCCTCCAGAACTGCTCGCTTCTGGTCTAATTCTTCCTGAGCGGCATACCAGACTAAAAAGTTGGAGTCATAAACATTAGCCACGGATGTACATTCAGGCCTGGGCGAACCCGAGTTCGCAGAGATAATATCCCGAGAACAGATTGCTGGCATAAGACATACTGGACTTATCGGATTTGGACCAATCCTTCAGCTTATTGACGTAGTCATCGAATTCCTGTGCCCGGCGGTCCCCCTGTTCGGCAGCGCGCTTTTGCAGATCAGGGTTGTATCGCTTCCTAAGCTCTTCGTCGGAGGGTCGGATATACTCTACAAGAGCGGGGCCACCGACGACCATGAGAAGACCACTATAGTGAGAACCGAATGTGAGCACGAGTCTTTGTCACGGTGAAGGCGAGTATCACTTACCCGGCTATGGTCTTCGCCCATAATCCGGCGCGAGACATGGCGTTGAATCCGAAGCGTGGATGCTGATTACCGATTCAAGATCCGGTATGACAATGTGGTTCTCAGACAGCTCGGGAAGATATAACTCGAGATGTTGAGACTGATGGCGATCATCAACATCATCGCGGCTCTCATTTGCTGTTGGAAGCGGCGTGGCGCAGCCGATGTGGCGCAGTACTACGCTTTGCCCGATCAAGCGTGTCTCACATCTTCTTGTTTCTCCCCACACTTTTATTCACCTTTGTGTTTCCAAGGTTCTGTTGACCGTGACATCCATCTTAAGGAAGTGTTCCGAGACATATGTGGGCATGTTCTCGTCTTACAAATTCTATACCTCTGAGGTACCAACGTGTTATACAGCCTTGGGCAACCCTCCAGGGCCACCATGGGTGGCCACATGGTCTAGTTTAGTCATCTTTGTTCGATCTTGCCGCGGTAAGCTCTGGATTTGGATGGCAGATGGCAGCATTACGAATTACAGTTACTAAAGAGGCACAACTGGATGCCAACAAGTCCCGTCAGCGTTGAAATTGTGATTGTGATGGGCTTGCAGGACAAGGAATTCTGCAGGATTGCGGCCCCGGCTTCGAACGCCCCCTCCCGCCCCCCGATCGTCAGGCACCGAGTGGGATGAATTAATTTCCAACCGCGGGCTTTATCTTCAGAAAAATAATCCAGTGTATAATAACTATACGTCGTACCAAGACATCAAAGAGATATGTGCTCTTAAATAGGAATATAATAATAGGAACATGGGTCTATGACGGCACTGAATTTTCCATTTAAGAGAAAATGAACCAAAGGAGTTAGTCCTATAAAAGGGCAAAGGAGATTGGATACCCATATAAAAAAGTATGGAAAGTATGAAAAGTATGGAAAAAATATGCAAAAGTGTCCAGTGTGGGTCAAAAGACTGTTTAATTTCAAGGTCACCTGCTCCGACCGCCCCTAAATCATTCTGCCCCCCGCTTCATTTAACTCTTTCCTTGAACTTCTTCGAATTCACTTTGGACCGGTGTGGCTCCTGACCTCAGGTGCTTGATCAGCTTGCGACAAGGCGCCTTGGTCATTCGACGCTGTGGTTTGGCATTGCGCGAGGTAAGGATCAGTGTGGAGTCCCAAGGGCCGACTGCCTTCTCAGGATATCCATGGATCGTGAAATGGATGAGCTAACTCCAAATTGCAGCCCTGGAGCCCTGGAGTTTACCGAGCTGTCCCGTCCTTCCATGCGACTACCCACAAGATTTGCACGACCGTGAACGGCCCTTGAAGACTATTTGAACCGCCATTGTACAGTACGCTTGTCGGCTTGCGCCATGTCATACCCCCAGCAACATCAGGCGCAGAGGCCGCCACCTTTGCGACAATACAATAACCCCCCTGCGCCTTCTATGGCATCGCCAGGAGGATATTCGCAAGATGGCTCCCACGGAGGATACAGCGACGGTGGCATGAGTAGCCATAGTTACCAGCAGACCGACCCGGGCTACGACGATGCGGCATACAGCTACCAGTCCAGCTCCTCCAGTCCGCAACCATATCCTGCTACGCAATCTCAGCCACGCTCGATGCGCCCACCAGGTCCACCAGGCCCGGGAAATGGACGACCCCCAGGACCTGGATACGATGATCGGCGTGGCTATCCTCCTGGTGGGGGACCGCCGCCACAATCGCGGTCGAGAACACGTATGTAAACTCTGACAGAGACCTCAAAGCGCCTACTAACCGACTTCAAGCTGGTGGACGCCCACCCCCAGGCGGTGCCTTCGACAATCCCTTTCCCACCTTTCCAAATCGAGACCCAAGAGATCCGAGGGCGCCCAGAGACCCGCGAGACCCGAGAGGCCCTAGAGACCCAAGGGATCGGCGCGGTCCGCCACCACGAGGGCTAGAGAAAGATATGGCTGCAATGGACATTAATGGCAGGGGCCCGCCTAGACCGCACACTTCAAATTCCAATGGAAGACGGCCAGATATGCGACAGCCACCTCCACGCGGACCTCCACCAGGGCGGGGCCGAGGTGGCTATCCAATGGGCCCAGTGCGAGCTGCTAGCTCAGGCAGACCAGGTCGACCTGATAGAGACTATCCAGACTCCATGGGCCCGTCTATGCCTCCTCCACCAAGAAGCGCAACGATGCCGCTCGGCCCAGGCGCACCACTCTACCCGGGCCAGTCGACCTACCAAGAAACAGATTACCCAGCGAGCTCCATGGGCGAATCTCCTATGCGCCCTGGTACTGCTGGAAGTATGCGACCCCCACGATCTCGTGCCCCCAATGATATAGACCCAGGCCTAATAATTCCCCCGGCTGGGTTGATGATCCCCCCGGAGCCCGCCAATCGTGTTTCATATGCGCCCAAGGACTTTCTGGATAGCTATTATGAGTCTGGTGGTGCTGCTGCTGATGAACCCGATATGCCCAATTTTGATGCCATGCCAGACCCTCATCAGGGCGCCCTGATTGATGAGATGGGCCTGGAAACGACACCGGTCAAAAAGCCAGTCCATGCTGCGACCTCTTCGCCTGGAGACTACGCATATCCCCCCAACGGGGTGGAGGCTATGCGCTCCCAATCTCAACCAAATTTCCGAGAAACAGCCGGTGCTGGTGCCAATCAGTTTGAAAATGCGGGATTCCAGTTTGACATTCCTGGAGAATCTTCCCGCGCTCCCGCTTTCGACCACCAAGGCTCTGCTGGGTATGGCTCGAACGGCTACGAAAATTACGCTGGTTACTCACATGGTCCTTCCCCGGTTCGGACCAACCAGCCAGGCTATTCCCACGACCAGGCCGATATGCCAGATCCTCACCAGAATCCAGACGCTCTTCCTCACCACCCAGCCCCGTTCCGCCCCGGTCATGATCAAGCATCAAAACCTGCGCCGATTCGGCAGTACAGCGCTCCTGAATCCATGCCAGCCCCCGCTGCCCCACAGCCAGCGATGGCGCCTGGTGGAACGGCTCAGCCGCCCGTCACAATTGAAGAGATACAACGGCTGCAACAGCAGGCGCGAGCCAATCCTTCTGATCAGAAGACCCAACTTCTACTCGCCAAAAAGCTAGTCGAGGCATCCACAGTTTTAGTAGGGGACAACAGCAGACTCGATCCCAAAACAAAAGCCAAGGCCAAGGAGAAGTACGTGCTGGATGCCCATAAGATTCTCAAAAAGCTTGTTTCGGCCGGGTACTCTGAAGCCCAATTTTTCCTGGCTGACTGCCACGGCGAGGGCCAATTGGGACTCGAGGTCGATCCAAAAGAGGCTTTCTCACTTTATCACTCTGCTGCGAAACAAGGACACGCACAGTCTGCATACCGTGTGGCCGTATGCTGCGAGATTGGCCAGGAAGAAGGGGGCGGTACCAAACGTGATCCATTTAAGGCCGTTCAATGGTACAAGCGTGCTGCTGCGCTCGGTGATACACCCGCCATGTACAAAATGGGAATGATTAATCTAAAGGGGCTGCTGGGTCAAGCTCGGAACCCGCGGGAGGGTATATCATGGCTCAAGCGGGCGGCTGACCGCGCGGACGAGGAAAACCCGCACGCCCTCCACGAGCTTGCCCTCATGTATCAGAACGCTGGTGGCAATGACATCATCGTCCGCGACGAGCAGTATGCCTCCCAGCTATTCCACCAAGCTGCCGAACTTGGCTACAAGTTCTCTCAATTCAGACTCGGTGCTGCCTACGAGTACGGCCTGATGGGATGCCCCATTGACAACCGCACGAGTATCATCTGGTACACTCGTGCCGCGGCCCAGGGTGAACACCAGAGTGAACTCGCCCTTAGTGGCTGGTATCTCACCGGATCAGAGGGCATTCTACAGCAGAACGACACCGAGGCCTATCTGTGGGCTCGGAAGGCCGCCACCGCTGGTCTCGCCAAGGCGGAATATGCTATGGGATATTTCACCGAGGTCGGAATCGGCGCTGCTGCTAACCTAGATGATGCAAAGAGATGGTACTGGCGCGCAGCTGGTGAGTCGACTTCCCCTCCACTGTTTTTTGCTTTGACTTCCAACTGACTTTTTTTTTTTCCAGCCCAAGGATTCCCCAAGGCTCGTGAACGTCTTGAAGACCTTAAGAAGGGCGGAAGCCGAATGCAAAAGACTCGTCTCTCACGCTCGGCTGTTAACAAGCAGAGTGATGGGGACTGCGTTCTCATGTGATCGGACATTTTCGTCCTTTCCTGATTCGCCACGCTTTAGATATGGCTTGCATGTATGCATTTCTTCATGATCACCGGCGTTTGATGTATTCTACCCCGGTCAAGAACGCTTCCCTTCTACCTTCTGAACTGCATGATTACTTTATGTTCTTATTTCCTCTTACCCTTTTTTTCAATGCCCTTCCACGATTGGATTTGCTCTTTTCTTCCCTCACTCTTCTTTCCTCCGCCTTTTATTCTTCCGTTGTTACGAATGGGATGCGCATGACTGGAACGGACAAGAACTGGTTTTAGCATCTGTATACATTAATAGATTGTTGACCAATTTTAATAAGTGTACAATGCCGTAAGTATCCAAAATCAATCCCAATGTTCCTTCAGATATCCGTAAATCCGAGCCAATGCTGTAGGACGGATATATCGATTGTCAGCGGGCGAATTCCGCACTGGGACTCAGCTTGTGGATTTAATTTCCAATGCTCGGCCGTATGATCGGCTCTCTGCGCTTCTAAAAGCATCTAATTAATCAGCTCTAGTTTACCGTACATAGTGTTCTTTCTTACCTTCACGTTGAATATAAAACAAGACCGCTACTTGTTGAGAGCTGGGAGGTAGTACATTGCTAGCTCTAACCGAAACAAGCCATATATGTCTTCCGAATCAAGCCGACATAACGACTCGGAAACACGAATACCTAATTCATTCAGCGGACAGAAGCTCGCTCTTGTCTCTCTTTTGACCGTCCTCGCAGCTGTACTTATTACCCTACTCCGGGGAGACACCGCCAATCTGTTCGGCCTCCAACGCCTCTTCGGATCTTCCGCGCGCTCAGCGGCAGTACCCCTATCAGCATCAGCATCTGCTGCAGCAGCAGCGACAGCGAAGGGAAAACCAGACGTATTCATGACTGGTCACGTACAAACCAGCATGAAGACACCCATTTACTTCCTCAGCCATGGCGGGGTGAGTTATCCACAAGCTGTTTCTTACCATGAACTAAAGGCTGATTTGATACCCACCAGCCAAACGTCATGTACGAAGTTGACCACCCGGCTTACCGCAAGCTCGGTGAGATTGGGCGCGAGATAACCACCAAGGTCAAGCCGAAGGCTGTCGTGGTATTCTCGGCGCATTGGCAAGCCGGTCGAAATACGATCCAGGTGAATACCGCCGAGAAGACTGATTTGATCTATGAGTATGTTGAGATCAAAATCCTAGCCCCAAGCTTGCAAAGCCCGAACTAACTGGGTTTAGTTTCTATGGATTCCCGGGCCATTACTATAAAGAGAAGTACCCAAATGTGGGTAGCAAGGAGGTAGCGAACGAAGTGTTAAGGTTATTGAAAGAAGCCGATATCACGGCCGAGGGCGTGCAGCGCGGGCTCGACCACGGCGTCTGGGCTAGCTTCAAGTGCGGTATGTGACAGATTGCATCAAAACACCAATTCAATACTGACGAGGACAACACAGCCTTCGAGCCAGAAACAAACCCACTGAACGTTCCCGTCGTGCAGGTCTCGCTCTTTAACACTGAAGACCCAGACCAGCACTACCGGCTCGGACAGGCAGTGGCGAGTCTTCGCGAGCAGAATATTTTGATCATCGTGTCTGGGATGGCTGTGCATAACCTGCGCGACCTGCGGTTTACTTTTGACAGTTCGACTCCGATGCCGTATTCGGTTAGCTTCGACGAGGCGCTCAAGGATGCCGTGACGACTGCGCCGGCTGAACGGCAGAAGGCTATGGCTGAGCTGATGAAGAGACCAGATGCACGCCAGGCTCATCCTTCCTTTGAGCATTTGCTGCCTATTCATATTGGGGCTGGTGCCGCGGGCGAGGATCTGGGAAAGAGGATCTGGACGTTCCCCGAGGGGAGTATGAGCTGGGCGCAGTATCGGTTTGGTGAGGTAGGCAATGCTAGTAGCGCGCTATGAGAATAGCATCAAACCATCACTGGAAGTAATTGAATTGGATTTGTTTTGGATATGAGCTTCGATTTCATCTATAGGTACAGAAGATGGGTGTAGAACGGTGGGAACGCGGGGGCATAAAATAGATTTGCAGAGAGACAAAAGAAGTTATAGCTGCTGCTTCACCAACTGTGTAATGCGCTCTTCGATCTGGGTGTCCGACAGGCCTAGAAACACCAATTAGTATTGCAACTTGATACAAAATTGTGGTTGGCGGGGGATATTTACCGGACAACGCTTCTTGCTTCTCCTTGCCGAAGGCTATTAAGAGGAACCCATCACGTTAGCTTGACTCACTTGCTTAAAGTGCTCACACAATGGGCTTATATGTGTCCTGTCATACCATATCGGGCAAAGACTCGCGGCTGGATGCCCGCGGCCTCTCGCATCATGATGGGAGTCTGGGGGTTGTGCTTCTTCATAGTTGGGTAGGCGCGGTTCAAGAAGGACCTACAGACACGGTGGAAGGTTAATCAGTCGGCTGAAACACCATTCGCCTCGGGTCGGGTTATACGCACCTTGTGGCCGCGCTCGCTTCGGAGGTTTGGCAGAAGAGGAAGCGGAGCTCCTTCAGGCCTCGAGTGAAAACGTACTTGCCAGACATGGTGGCAGAATGGTCGAGCAGATTTAAGGATTAGGGAAATTGAGGTCTCGATTGAGCCACGGGAGGATGAGCGTGGGAGCAGTGGGATTGACTTGCTGGACAGTCTGCGATGCGGTGCATTATTCACGACGGCGTTGATTCGCTGCGCAGAGCCATAATCCCGCTAGTCCCGATATCAACTAGCGCAGTATGCTTACATCAGCTTCCACATCCGCCGAAGCGTCATAGGTAGGTAGTTGCAGCCCAAGAGAGACAGTAAATGAGGGATAATTAATTGGAGTAGACTGTATTAAGTACTTGAGAGTAGCCCTTTCGTTTTCTATCGACTAATTCTCATCTACCTGCCGTTGTGGTGGTTAATTGCCGTATCTGCCCTCGCCGACGGAAAACTCCCCCTTCCACCGATCACCGGACGTTCTCCCATCTTCTCTCTTACCAGCACCACCATCCCAGCTATCACCATGTCGTCTCGCGTGGGTTTCCGCTTTGTGAACAATGCTCGCTTTGCATTCCGCAACGCCTCTGCGCCATTCCGCCGGCCGGGTGCCCAGAGCTTCCGCTGGCAGAGCTCCGAAGCCGGTGCTGCGGAGCAGCAGAGCGCCTTCCAGCGCCTATGGAATAGCCCTGTTGGTATGAAGACTGTCCACTTCTGGTAAGAATTCCAATAAAGCTAAATCACTTGTCCTTATTTTGCTACTACGAATTGATGCTAACTTCCGCTCCGCAGGGCCCCGGTTATGAAGGTACGATAACTCAATTTCCTCATTTGATATGCCGTCTATACCCCGAGCCACCCTTCCGAATACAATATCTCTATCAAATGCCGCCGTATCTTGCAAGGCTTCTCCATGTACCTGCTGAGCACCATGGCTAACATATTTCCCTATAACAGTGGTGCCTGGTCATCGCCGGTATCTCCGACTTCGCCCGTCCCGCCGAAAAGCTCTCCCTCACCCAGAACGCTGCTCTGATGGGCACTGGTGCCATCTGGACTCGCTGGTGCCTGATCATCAAGCCCCGTAACATCCTGTATGTGGAACCCACACCAGACCCGCTAAGCACTAATGCTAACACGATATAACTGTATAGGCTTGCCGCTGTGAACTTCTTCCTCGGATGCGTTGGTGCCGTCCAGGTCACTCGTATCTTCCTGTGGCAGCGCAGCCAGTCTGACTCAACCGTCGAAGCCGCCAAGGAGATTGAGCATGAAGCTGTTGACTCTGTCAAGGCCACCGCCGAGGCGGCCGAGGGCGCCGTGAAGAAGGCTGTTGAGAAGTCGACTTAGATATGAGGTAGATTCTGTGTTGACGGCAGGGGAGCTTGAAAGAGTGTCCCTGAATAAATCTAAACCGGTATCTATAGGGAATTCTTACCGTCGCTGAGGTGAATCTTGGATCTCGGGGTTGAGTGAGTTCGCCCGCTTCAGATGACCGCTGATTCATCCCGCCTGAGCTGAGAATTTGGTCCTTTTATTGGACAACCGTTGTACATATAAAGCATGTTTCAAAGTGATTGGTCACTGTTCCTTGTGCGAGACGTGGCCGAGAATTCCGAAGAATTTCCAGTAGCATCTGTCTTGTAACTCCGACTATCCTCTGTTGGTAGTTGCTATTCGGAAACTTGTGGCGCTAGCAATGTCTAGCTTCATTTGTTTGAAATATATTGGATTTAGGGACTCTGCTAGCTCTACCCAGTTTATCCGGGTTTTTCCTCCCAATCGGGGAAACCGCATCAAATATTCCTCCTATCAGACCTGCTTGAGGGTCATCCTTACGCAACGCGAGTCATTTTATCTCCGGTCCGCTCTTTAACGAGACGGAAACTTACTATGCCAGCCATGGCCTCCGGTGTCTCCACATGTCGTGGAGTCGCTAGCTTATTTCCCCGGAGGAAATTGAACGAGATGGGGTTACCCCATCGCATGACCGCAAAGGGCCGTTCTTAGCCTTGACCCTGGGCGAGCTTGACCGGGGTAACAGAGGATAAATTGTCAATGGCGAGACTATATATAAGCTGTACTGCAAGTGCTCGAACGGTGTCTTTGGCCGAGAAGATTGCCAATCCAACCCAAGACAAACCCTAGGTTCTCTTAACACCGACGATGAAGATTTCAAATACTTTGACCCAGGCCTTGTGGCTTTTGTTGCCACTCGTTGCGGCCGTTCAGGCGAAGGAATACTCTCGAAGCGAGGCGTGCCAGCCACACCATCCATTCAAGCCCCTTCCGGGCAGCCAAGCCAGAACTCGCACCTGTCATGTAGCCAACAATGGCCATGGACGCGACGATTCAGCCAATGTCCTTACCGCATTGAAGAAATGCAACAACGGAGGAAAAATCGTCTTTGATGCCGACAAGACATATACGATTGGAAAGGCACTTGACATGACTTTCTTGAAGCATGTGGATCTCGGTATGTAATGCGCGTTGGATATGAGACGAGTGAGTACTTATGCAAGCTGTAATAGAAATCCAAGGCCACGTCCAATTTAGCGATGACACAGACTATTGGCAAGCAAATTCGTTCAGGCACGTCTACCAAAACGCCACAACGTTCTTCCAGATCGGTGGTGAGGATGTCAATATTTACGGCGAGGGCACCCTGGATGGTAACGGCCAGGTCTGGTATGATTTATATGCAGAGGATCCCCTTATCCTGCGGCCAATTCTGGTTGGTATAATTGGGCTAAATGGAGGTACCATTGGACCTCTCAACCTTCGTTATTCGCCTCAGTGGTATCAATTCGTGGCAAACTCATCCAACGTCCTTTTTGACGGAATTGATATCAGTGGGTTCAGCAGCAGTGCGAATGTGGCTAAGAACACAGATGGATGGTAAGTCCATCTGCATTTAAACGAGGAGCTAGCTTCCATTAACTAATACCTTCGATAGGGACCTTTATCGTTCGACGAATGTTGTTATCCAAAACTCTGTGATCAACAATGGAGATGGTACGGTTCCCTTAAAAAATTTGGACCGATCTTCTTTTATTAACCATCTCAAAGATTGCGTCTCGTTCAAGCCCAATGTTACCGACATTTTGGTCCAGAACCTCCATTGCAACGGCTCCCACGGTATCTCTGTTGGCTCTCTGGGCCAATACCCGGGCGAGGTTGACATCGTGCAGAATGTGCTCGTGTACAACATCTCCATGTTCAACGCATCGGTACGTTTAGTCCCACTGGTGAGATAATTGCGTCTCTGACAATCTTATGAAGGATGGTGCGCGTATCAAAGTCTGGCCTGGGGCTTCCGCTGCGATGTCTACCGATCTCCAGGGCGGCGGTGGATCGGGTCTGGTGAAGAATATTACCTACGATGGCATGACCATTGATAATGTCGATTATGCCATCGAAGTTACCCAGTGCTATGGCCAGAAGAATTTGACTCTCTGCAATGAGTTCCCCGTACGTGTCTATCGATATCCTTTTGTCCCTATTTCCTTTTTTTCCACCTTGATCCCAGCACTATCATTTGTTTCTGGTTGCCGAAGGCTAACACGTACACCATCCAGAGCGAACTCGCCATCGAAGATGTTGTCTTCAAGAATTTCAACGGTGTCACCTCTGGTAAACGTGACCCTGACGTGGGAATGATTGTTTGCTCAAGTCCCGATGTAAGCGCTCAAACACCGCCGGTTATGACGCACTATCTGACTTGTACAGGTCTGCTCAAATATCAACGCCAGTAACATCGATGTTGTTAGCCCCAATGGGGATGATCAGTTCACTTGCACAAATGTGGGTTTATCTTGAAGATTGGTGCGACGCTGACAACACACTTACTGATTTGTTTTCTCCTGCTCTAGGTTGATGAAAATTTGCTGGATCTGAACTGTGCATCCTCCAGCTAGAGCAGTCAGGCCTATAATATTTAGAGTCTTGTTTGCAAATATGACTATCAATATTGAGATTCATATATACGGCCATGGACTTGATGCCGGTTTGCAATAGCCGAGCTTGCCTACTCCATACCTAGGCAGAGATAGGTGAAACTGTCCTCTCAAATTGGTATTTGCTATTGATGCATGACTTCAGCCAGCCACATAGTCTATTGATCTCACTATCATTACATCCCGTGTGTGCATGGCCGTGCATATGATGTATATGCACACAATCCACGCTAGCTTCCACCCGATTACGTCCACATTTTTTTCGAAATGTCTTCCTTGCTTTTGCTTTCACTTCCTATTCCGTTATTTTTTCCATGTGGGCCTTTCCACACCGCATTTCTCGAACTAAAAATCTGTATTATTCGGGGTTCATGTGTAGATCCGTCAAAGACATGTATTTAATCTCCTAATGACAGGCCCCAGTAAGATGCCTGGTTGAATTATTTTTATACTTTCTCTACGAGGTCCTTTTTACAAATTTGAGTGATAGCCGAATACTTTGGTCATCTTTAAAGCACAACATTTCTATTTTCCTCTCTTAGATCAACATCTATCATGCATCCAGATTCTCAACTCGAGACCGCCGTCAAAAGCGGCTTTGACCCAAAGAGCCTCTACACTACGGAGTTGACGAAGGTCAATGAGCCAGCGAGAACGATTCTCGAGCAGTATAGCAAGATTCCGGCCGAGAATATTTTACAACATGTGAAAGACTTGGTTTGTGGCTCAACCTCAAACGTGAACGATAACATTCGCTGACACTAAGTAGAGAGACCGTGCTTTTGCAGTTGTGCGTTCTTTTTTAAGTCCAACTTTCCGGATTATTGGCTAATATAAAATTTGCCTACGTGTCAGTTCCCTTACGCCTGCATTGGACAAGCCTCATTCCTTGAGTTGAGCATCGCATCGTCACCATGCTATCCCGAGATGCTTGACCGTGTCAAGAAGGGAAACAGACTACTTGACCTGGGATGTGCGTTTGGACAGGAACTGCGACAGTTGGTGAGTTGCGCCGAGCAAATGAATGACATGCGACCATTGCATCCATGGATACTTCTCCATCTTGACGAGAGCCGGCTAATCAGAAGAAATACGGAAAATCCAGATCTATGACGGCGCCCCATCGCAAAACCTGTATGGGTCGGACCTTCGTCCTGAGTTCCTTGAGCTTGGCCTTGACTTGTTCATGGATCGCTCAACCATCAAATCCCGCTTCATCGATGCCGATGTCCTCGACGATAAATCTCCTCTTGTGACTCAGCTGACAGGCGAGCTCAACATTGTCTATATCTCACTTTTCCTTCATGTCTTTGACTTTGATACACAAATCAAGGTGGCCAAGAGGGTGTTTGATCTGCTTGCTCCGAGGACCGGATCGCTCGTCGTGTGTCGAGTGGTGGCGTGTCGGGACCAAGCCATAGGGAATGCCACCAACGCGCGCTTGCCATACTATTACCACGATCTGGCTAGTTGGAACCGACTGTGGGAGCGCGTGCAAGAAGAGACGGGGCTGAAGTTAAAGGTCGACAACTGGGAACAGGACGATGCTTTGGCGAAGAAGCATCCTTTAGAAGGCATCTATATGCTTGGTTCATCGATTCGCCGGGAGTAGAGACTAAGTGACTCGGATATACTTGTTCTGGGAGTCTCAGAGTTCCTTCAGTTCCCTATATTCTTCAATTGGTCCTCCCACAAGCCTACATCGAGACTCGTGCGACAGATGATGGCATTTGTCGTGTGCGTTTGTAGTACATTACAGTGAAATATACACAGTGGAACCATTTGCATGTCGCTGTATTGTATCGCCGTAACTTTCAATTGGCAACACTCGGCCGAAGCCGTGGCTGGCTGGCCTGCTGCATATCTAGGGATAGCAAACTGAAGGCTGGCGAAAGGCATTTTGGGTTTTATTAAGGGGCCAGAAATAACAGAAGTACGCACACATCATATGCATCAACTGTCATTTTATTTGAAGAACGGGTAACGTATACACTACCATGTGTATGTATGTATCGAAGGCCCAGTGTTTTCAATACATGGTACTGAGTTCGAGTTGGAAACATGGATTTATACGTACAATCCTAATGGTATGATAGGAAAAGCAGCGAAAAATACATAAATCCCTGTGCATTTTACATATGTAGCTAGGGTGGGCAGCAGTAGCTGAAGCAACCGCTTGACTTCCTCTTCTCTCTATTGAAACGCCATCTCTCAACAAAGATTGATGCGACCATGGGGTTCTTTTCTAGCACACAACCACCTCAACCAGCCACGGTGCCGAGCGACGAGATCATCCCCCTCCATTTCTGGAATACGGCCTTATGTATGCGTGGCACGGTATTGGACGTTTCTCTCAAATTTGATGATGTGTTGGATATATCAAAACTGCGTGATGCTCTCGATCAACTGCTCGAGATGGAGGATTGGAGACAACTGGGGGCTCGGTTGCGCATGAACGTGGGTGGTTTGACACTGATATCTGATTTACATGTTTGATCCTGACACAGAGCGACCTCACAGAGCAATGGGAAACTCGAATATCACATTCCAGCGCATTTCGATGCCTCGAGACCGGCTTTCACCATGACCAATGCTCAGCATGAGGCAAGCATTGCCGACCACCCACTTGGAGCCAGAATACCGCATGCAACCGGCACGCCTGCCATCTTTCCATCGCCCGATGAATTAAGTCCTCTACTACGCAGCGTAGATGCCCCCAAAAACATCAATGACTGGATCTATTCGGACCGGCCCCAACTATCTATACACATCATAACCTTCAGTGACGCTACAATAATCACTGTCACATGGCTACACACACTAGCGGATGTTATGGGAATGACCACAATTTTGAGTGCGTGGACTGCTCTACTCCATGGAAACCGAGAGGCCATTCCTAAGCTACAGGCATTTCGATCAGACCCGCTCACACAACTCGGCCAACGCACCCCAGCAGAAAAATACATGCACTTCAACCGTGTGTTCGGTCGGAAAGAGTTCTTGTGGTTTATTGGGTTGAATATCCTTGATAGGCTGTGGTATCGCCAGGAAGAGCGACGTACTATTTGTATTCCCGCCGCATGTTTGCGGAATCTCTGCCAGCAAGCATCGAGTGAGATCTCGACTTCCTCACGGAGCGAAGGGGGGCCAGTGCCTTTTGTGAGTGAAAGTGACGTGCTGCTGGGATGGTGGGTGCGCAGCATTTATAGCGCGCTGGGGCTTAGGACGGATCAAACTATCCTGGTAAACAATGCGCTAAACCTGAGAACATCTTTGCATGAATCCTTCATGTCCAAAGATAGTGCATACATGGGAAATGCACTATGCATGTCACCGACCTTTCTACAGGGCCAGCAGATTGTCGACGAACCGTTAGGCCAAATTGCTCTCCGGATTCGAGAATCCGTAGCGGAACAGCGAACTCCGGAGCAGGTCGAGGCGATGACAGCACTGCAAATGCAGACGATGGAAAAGACGGGCTATCTGGCCTTGGTGGGTGATCCTAGAATGATGCTACTGTCTTGCTCCAACTGGCACAAAGCCCGTCTCTTTGACATGGACTTCTCGCCGGCGGTATTGCAAAGCTCGGTTCAATCAAGCTTGCAGAACCCTCAGAAGAAAGGAAAGCCGTGCTACGTGAATGGAGTTCAGCACTCGACAAATTCATTCCGCAACGTTCTTTCGGTAATAGGAAAAGATGCTGGTGGGAATTGGTGGTTAACCGGTGTTCTACGAACAGATGCATGGACGCATGTGGAAGAACAATTGCACAGATTGGGTTCGAGTTAGGTCTTATCCAAAACTGTCAACATAGCTAAACTATATTCATGGGACTCTATATCGGTGTACGGTACAGTCAATCTGCTCTACTATCAAAGATTCTTCAATTTGATTCTTGAATTTCTACTGATCCTTGCTGTAACGAGTATTAACCACGTCATCCCGTCCGAAAAGTACGGAGCGTGAGATACACATAAATACGAGTGTGTGTTAAATACTCGAAAATGAAAATACATAGTCGTAATACTACTAGTGAAGGGTTTGACAGAAATTAGGTGATCTATGGTGTGATACAGTAAAACCTGGTTATGACGAACCTGGATATAACGAACGGAAACCGGTGTTTGAATTAATCTGCCATACAAAATTCGTCATATCGAGGTTTAGTCAGCCTGATTACCAATGAAATGCCTCTCTTCGATCGATTCCCACCTTGTAGAAGCTCGGTCCACCGCTCCGACGGTCACTCCCTAAGAATTACGGTGACTCGAGCCCTTCCTCTCGGGGGTAAAAGGGTAGCTAATTAACGCTCTACGGAAGTGCAATAGGTTACTAAGAGCAAGGAATTAGGAGGGCTGAAGTGTAGTGATGTTAGGGCGTTTTTGGGGTCTAAATTTGTAGATGTATATATAATGTATGGCGCTTTGATTTAACGAATACCTGGGTATAACGAACTTTTTGCTGTGTCTTATTTAATTTGTTATAACGAGGTTTACTATAGTGCGAACCTTGGAACAGTTAGCGTTAGATCCGTCTCGGGCCGGCCGCACGGGACATATTGGACCCACTATAGTCAAATACGCATATTGTACGGCATGGTATGTATGTATTTGAAATGTGATACAGCCATGTAGTACTAGTAGCTTGTGCAGTGACGATCAAGGGATACGTAAAATAATGTATTTAAAACTCCGTACTCATGAGCAATCTCTCAACAACTCTAATTACAAATCCCAGCATAATTATCCACGAGATGCTCGGATGCAGTTCGTAGTATTCCGTACGGAGTACAACCCAGAAGACAAAAGAAAAATGTCGATTGGGTCAGTCCTTGCATTGACATGCGCATTTGGGATTATCCATTCTCCAGTTTTCAGCTAGCCATCAGCCGGATATTGCAGCCCATGAAAGTAAAACCATGTCCTGCACTTGAGGAAACACTCGTTCTCATTTCCATATCCTGTTGACACTTGCTCATTTGAGATTTTCCATACAAACTACGAATAATGGAGGAATCAAGCTTGCTCTCAGCAGTCTTGGAACACCGAGATGCATTGGCGTCGGTCGCAGAATTTCTCCGAATTCTAGCTGGAATTTGCTGGACTTTGAACTACTTCAGCATGTTGCGCACTTCGCGAAAGGACAAGATTCCCAGCACAGGTATCTTCCCTCTCTGCAATGATATTGGGTGGGAGTTTATCTACGCCTTTATCTACCCAACTGCGAGTGCCCATTGGGAAGGAGGAGTCCGAGTGTGGTTTTTGGTTCATTGCATCGTCATCGTCTTTATCATCAAATATGCGCACAATGAGTGGGACTATTTCCCACTCGTTCAACGAAACCTTTACTTCGTCTATGGAATTGTGACTATTGGCTTTGCCATCGGTCAGTATTCCTTTGCTCGGGAGGTTGGACCCGACTTGGGATTTTTCTATGGGGGCGTGCTATGTCAGACGCTGGCGAGCCTTGGGCCAATTGCTCAGATTCTTTCCCGGAATAGTACCCGTGGTGCTTCCTTGTTGACTTGGTAAGTGCAAGCACCAGCCGTTTGATTTCGCCATACTAACATGGCAAAAGGCTACTGAGAGCAGTCGCTACTTTTGGTGGATTCATTAAGTTGACTATCTATTACCTCACTGGCGTTGCTGCAGGACCTTGGTTTGAAAGTCCCATGTGCAAGTTCTACATCGGGTTGACCTTGATTCTCGATTTTACCTATCCGATCTGCTACTACGTCATTCGGCGTCAGGAGTTGGCTAATGCTGAGGGGGAGAAAAAGAAGAAGACCAAGTCGGGAAAGACAGCTTGAACCGTGATAACTGGATGACAAGTTGCTGTGTGGAAAGTATGGTATACTGCTAGGTGGTTTGGCAATGAAGACAGTTGGTTGTGTCTAAAAATTTCATATTTCAGGGTCCATATCTATCAATCACAAAATCACATAATATGACGAGCTGAAAATACGTCACAATACATTATAAAAGGTCCTAAATGGGATTCGTGAAAGAGTATCTGCAAGGAGCGAGGATTATGTACATCTTGGTAGATACAACAGGGAGCCAAAAAATAGAGAAAAAAAGGAAAAGAAAAAGAAAAAGCCACATGAAAAGGGGCAATGAGCATTAAGGGTGAAACTAAACAAGGAATTATATTGCATTACCTATTAAGTGAAGCGGTACGGAGTACTCCGTGCTGTGATTCGTAACTTGAAGATAGCTTCATACTTGATCGACCGCTCAACATACTTATCTCCGACATTCTTCACCGCCAACCAACATTATTAGATGCAGGATTAGAAGGATCAGTCTCTTTCTAATGCAGACATGACGGAATACATGGAAACACCCAAGTTCAAAGTCATCATTGTTGGGGGGTCTATCGCTGGGTTGACATTAGCCCATGCTTTGTCCCAAGCCAATATTGACCACATCGTTCTCGAAAAGAGAGCTGAAATTGCTCCCCAGGAAGGTGCCTTTATCGGAGTCTGGCCTAATGGAGCACAGATACTCGATCAACTTGGTCTCTACCACAGTCTGGAAAAGCTCACTGCGCCAATAAGTCGCATGCATCTTTCCTTCCCTGACGGCTATTCATTTAGCAGTCTCCTGCCTAAAACAATTCACGAAAGGTTTCTTTCCAGTGTCTTCTCTTGAATGAGATACCCAACATGTATTCTGACTGCTCAAACCCAGATTCAAGTACCCCATCGTCTCACTCGACCGGCAAAAGGTTCTTGAAATATTATTTCAGGGCTACCCCGACAAATCAAAGATCATTACGAGCCAGAGAGTATCTGAAGTGCGGCTACTGGGCGACAGTGCCAGTGTGGTGACAGAGGATGGAAGTGTATTCCAAGGAGATCTGATTGTCGGCGCGGACGGTGTGCACAGTCGTATACGCTCTGAAATGTGGCGATTGGCAGATGGGCTATACCCTGGAATGATCACACCACAGGAAAGGAAAAGTAGACAGCACCTTCCTCTCCTTGAATCCGGCTTTCTGGAACTTTGAACTAACTATTGCATTTCTTCCTGTTAGCTCTTACGGTTGAGTACGCATGTGTGTTCGGAATATCGCGACCAATACCCGGACTTCGAAGCGGAGAGCATATAAACCGTTACGGCGACAAATTCTGCGTGATTACCTTCCATGGAAAGGATGGTCGTGTGTTTTGGTTCATTATCCAGAAATTGGACCGTGTCTATAATTATCCCAACACTCCTCGGTATTCTCCCAATGACGCAGCGGAGCTCTGTGGCAAGATTCAAAACGTGGTCATATTCCGGGATATTACCGTGAATGACCTCTGGAAGACCAAGGTGGTAGCGTCAATGACGGCACTCGAGGAAGGGCTTTTTGAAACCTGGAGCTTGAATCGGATAGTTATCCTTGGGGATAGTGTACACAAGGTGGGATCTGGGGACCATCCTGGAGGAACTGGATTTACAACTTTCTAACATATTGTCTCCCCCAGATGACACCGAACATTGGACAAGGTGCAAACACGGCTATTGAAGATGTTGCCGTCCTTGCATCTCTGATAAATCGGATAGTTCAGGCGGATGACTTGAATAAGCCATCAGAGAGTTGCATCGAAACAATGCTCCGAGAATACAAGACTCTACGATATGAACGTGCGGAAAGTACATATCAACGCTCAAGATTTGGAGCTAGATTCCATACCCGAGACAATTGGCTTAAGGCTCTGGTGGGTCGATATGTGTTCCAGCACGTTGGTGGTCTCATAGAGAACCGGACAGCAAAGACTCTGGCTGGAGGGGACACTATTGATTTTCTTCCGCGGCCGGATCGGCTTGAGACTGGGTGCGTGGCACAACTTCCCAAAGGCCAAGAAAGCCCTCAGCGACAGTGGACGCTACTCTGGGTGTCCTCTCTGGCCTTATTCTTGTTTTCCTCTTGGCTTGGATCGTATCTGCATTCGACCATCTGGTGAACCACTTTTCAGCGAGCCACATTTTGGCATGTCTTTGTAAAGGAACTTATGTCTGATTGATTCTATACATGAAGACCGTGTGACAGTGTCAGTACTCCGTACAAAGATAATTCAAGTGTCTCGCGTCGATCATTAGCCGGATGAGATTAGTTGCATGCATGTAAATAGTGGGCCTGGCTAGGATCAAATTGATCGACAAAGGCAGAGGCGCAAGGCTAGCCAGCTGAACGAACGCCGCATAAAACACACAGGGGGTGTGCATACACATTTAGTCTACGGAGTACTCCGTACATGAAGATAGAAATAATGGATTGAGCTAATGCAGTAGATTCGTCTGCCTTTGAACTCGCCAACCAAATCTGGCTCGAATGGAGTGAGCATCAGCTGGACACATAGTGGCTATCAGTGGAGCCAAAGAGGGCCAGAGGAATGATCTCGACGAAGGGATGCTCTTAGACTTTTACGGATGCATGAATATTTTCAACTTACGAGTTGACTTGTCCAAGAGCCATAGTGATATCTACCGATATATTTTATCAACATCTCTACGGCCCCCTTGACCATTTGATATTTGGCCTTCCACACGCTTTCACCACATACCTCCTCATTGTTGCTTCCACGTTTCATCCATTCCGTATATCAGCCCGGTGTTGTCTTGAAGGCTTCATCGCCAAATTCCACTTTCACACGCCACGATGGCCCGACGAAATGAAAAAGAAGAAGCCCCACCACAGGGCAAAATCCTTGACTCGTTTCCCACTGCAATAGCACCTTATGCTGAGCTGATGCGCATTCATCGACTGTTGGGGTTCTACCTCAATACGTCCCCGTATCTTGTCGGTGTTGCCTTTAGCGCATCCATCTCATCCACAAAGATCCCAATCGCTGTTCTCTTGCACCGCGCCATCCTCCTATCCATCTGGTCTATTTTCCTTCGAAGTGCAGGGTGCGTTTGGGACGACCTCATCGATATGGACTTGGATAGCCAAATATCTAGGACCAAATCCCGACCCCTGCCGCGGGGTGCAGTGTCCCCGACAAATGCGTTCTTGCTCACCATCGCTCTCTTCGCCTGTGGAGGCAGTGTTTTGAGATTTCTTCCATGGGCCTGCACCGTGGACTGTCTCATAATCACATTCTTTTCACTGTTATACCCCTTTGGCAAGCGGTTTACCGACTATCCTCAGATTACCTTGATGAACATCGGGTGGGCGGTTCCGATGGCAATGCACAGCCTCGGGTTAGATCCTCTATCACAGATGGCGCCAACTGTGTGCATGTTCCTGTTCATTGGATCGGTCATTATTATGATTGATGTGATTTACTCGCGCCAAGATACGGAGGAGGACTTGAAGGTTGGCGTGAAAAACATGGCGGTCCGGTTCAGGGACTCTATTCAACTCCTATCATATTCTCTCCTTTACGCATCCACCGGATTCCTCGCGATGGCAGGTCTTCTGACTGGCCTTAGCCTACCCTTTTTCATCGTGTCTGTTGGTGGACATTTCTGTGGATTCTGGGTTCTCCTTAAAGCCACCCGGGTAGGGAAGTCGTCTGGAGTTGAATCCTACGCCAAGTCCGCTTTCTTCCTTGCTACTTTGTTTTGGTTGTTCGGATTTGTGATTGAATATTGCCTGCGTAACTAGATGACTTTTATGTTTCTTTACCTAAGTACAATATGCCCACCAGCGCTTGATCTACACCTTGAGACTTCCTGTGCTATTCATGATTGTTATCAACTTCGAGAAATGGGATGAGCAGAGCTTTCATATATATTTGTGAGAAAATAAAATTCCAACTGCACTTCTCGAGATTCCGAACCCAAAACCCCGATCCGGCTTCCCTCCTGCTACCGAGTTCAAAATTCGCAACAACTCTTGAGCTAGATCACGGACCAAGCGTTATCGACCGGAATGATCGCCCCGTTAATTCTCTTGCTTTGACTAGAGACCAGGAAGAGAAGACAGTTAGAAATATCCTCGGCCTCGATCCCCAGCCCTTCCTGTCTATCAGCGGCATGTGCCTGGTGGATGTGAGACATTGTCGCTAGTGCATCCTTGTCCCAAGCGGTTGGATCGGAGGCGTGTACTATGCCAGTCGGAACTCCTATTGGAAAGCATAAGCGACTAGCAGAAGATGTGATGTTAGTAATATGTGTTGGTCCACGTACCACCCGGACAAACGGCATTGCAGCGAATCCCCTCTTGCTTGTACCGCCAGGCAACATTCTTGGTGGCACCCATCAGCCCATGTTTGCCTAGAAGATAGGACTATCAGTATACAGTACATACTACCATCCGTAGTAGGGATATACTCACTGGCCGTGTACGCGACGCCGGACGCAGCACCACTCGTGGCTGCTTTGCTGCCGACGTTGACAATACTACCACTCTTCTGCTGTCGCATGATAGGAATGACCTCACGCATGAGCTTTACCGGTGCTGTCAAATTGATTGAAATGCATCGTTCCCACATATCGTCTGAGAGACTATCCACACTGGAATTTCGGTCCATGATACCGGCAATGTTGAGCAGACCATCGATTCGTCCACCGAACTCTTTAACACATGTCTCTACCACTTGCTTGGGTGTTGCCTCATGGGTAAGGTCACCTTGAATGAACTTGTAATTCGGGTGTTCATTGAGTGACACAGGCGCCGATGAGACGTCAACACCTAGAATTCTAGCCCCTTGGCTTAGAGCTGCTGTGGCTGTTGCCAGTCCAATTCCAGATGCGCTGCCCGTGATGATCAAGACCTGGAAAGCGATTAGTAAGGAATTACATTGTGGGAGCTGCTAGCTAGGTAGTAGAAGAGGCTTACAATGTCTTGAAGGAGTGACATGACTTTGGTGTAATGAGTAATGAAAGCAAAGGGGGAAATGATACAGTCCAAATTGACCGCGAAGTAAAGATTTGCAGCAGGTGTTGGAAAGAATATTCTCTACGTGAGGTCTCCGAATTTCCTCCCTCTAAGCCTGGAACTATTTCGACTATTTAGGCAATGCCTTACTCAGCTCGCCGTGTCGAATTTCGAATAAAATATATGAACATCCCGTCTCTCCTTGGTACTACGTATACGTGAGTGTCCGTATGGACGTGTGACTAAGAATATGACTATAAGAGGCAAGGGACCAGATACAACAATCCAAGGAAATCTGTGTTACATCTGATTATTCTGCTTAACTATCTTGCATGCTATAAAGCCATCCACATATTGCAATATATGCAGGGCAGTGGAGCTCTCCATGTCAGTCTCGAGATCGACAAGGAAAAAGCAATATGAATTGCGACAGGTCAAAGTGACGATGCTACTCAGCTCAGCCACATAGTATAAGCACTGCACGTTGATGCACGTCGATCTGTGGAGCTTCAAAAATACCTAAGTAGATACGTCATGTTTTGACCTTCGCCCTAGTAAAGATAGCGCGAGCCATAAGTACTAGTCTCAATACTTCCATCCACCCATTGTATATTTGGTTACGAGCATCGATCTCACCGCTGTTTTCGATCGGGGGTAAATGTTCTGTGGCACAATTGAAGTCGACTTGACCAATATACGGCATCTTTCAAGCAAATTCTGAGATCTAAGAAGATTATTGAGAAAAGAAGAGAAATTTGACCGAGAGAATGACGCAAGCTCAGGATTACATTGTTCCCCCAGGCTCTAGAGTCCTCGTTACCGGAGCAAATGGTTTCATTGCCTCACACATCGTCAAGGTTCTATTAGATCTTGATTATTTGGTTCGAGGCACGGTACGCACCCCAATGCCATGGCTGGCTGAGTATTTTGAGAAACAGTGTGGTTCAGGACGCTTCGAACTTATTGTGGTTTCCGACTTCCAGAAATCCAATGCCTTTGATGAGAGCGTGAAGGGTGTATCGGGGGTCATACATGTTGTATGTTTCTTTATACTAGTGGTTGTGACAAAAATATGAGTTGACCTTTGAGGTATCTAGGCTCAAGGCTTACCTTCTAGCAATGCTGCGGAAACCGTGGAAAGTGCAACAGCCTACACCGTGAATGGAGTCGTCAATCTTCTCGGATCGGCATCCACGGAGCCTACAATTAAGCGAGTTGTTCTCACTTCTTCTATCGTAGCAGCCGGCTATCCCACTGGGAAAGGGTTCAAGTTAGATGTTGGTAAGGTAACCCCCAGTATATGTCACACTGCATGTAGATGGCAGGAAGGTTAAACTCAGGCTAACAGAATCTGTATAGATTCATGGGATGGAAGCCTCGAACAAGCATCCAAAGATGGAACTACTGTGCCCATCTATCGAGCATGCAAGATCGAAGGAGAGAGACAAGCGTGGAGATGGGTTGAGAAGAACCAGCCACACTTTGAGCTGAACTCCGTTCTTCCATGGCTTACAGTGAGTCTTATCGAGAGAAACAAAAGATCTCACTTACATGTGATGTTAAGACTTGAACTAACCGCGAGTTCTGTCGCAGTTGGGTAAAATTCTTCATCCGAACATCGGTGGTTCTACCATGGGATATGTCTCTGGACTGCTCAATGGAGATACCACGCCGTTCAAATTCCTTCCGCTGCGTTAGTATCCCGAATCAGTTTGAGAGACCGAATATTGACTAACAAAATTTGCTAGCTTGGTTTGTGGATGTGGAAGACACTGCTCGCCTACACGCTATAGCTCTGTTCAGCCCCAGCGTGCGCTCCGAGCGACTCTTCGCCGCTGCGACGCCATTCATATGGGGGGATGTTGTTGAGATTCTCAAAAAAATCCAGCCCAATAATGCTCGTATCCCAGCCGCTCCTGTACGGGAGGAACCGACGCTAGGAGATGTCGTCCCGGCAGCAAGAGCCGAGAAACTATTGCGTGAGACTTTTGGACAGAGCCGCTGGACACCACTGGAAGTCAGCCTGGAGGGTGGTATTGCAAGGGAGTAACCCAGGAAGTATGGCTTCATTTTATGTGACTAGCTGCAAATAAGTTAAATGTATTGTTGAAGGTCCAAATTATTGAAGGTGAACATCAAAATAAATGAGCCAGTAGAGGAATATTCCCGAGTCGGCCTCGAGTCACGCTTAACTCCCAAGCTCGCTCAGTTCCTCCGTACAGCTATGACCGACCAATCGAGGACCGATGTGGTGATGATATTCAAAGTGATGTTGTGCGATATATTTTGACAATAACTTGACTTTCTAACTATCATTTATATTTTAATTGAAATTCAAAGCAGACGGTTAATGATAGGGCATCGAGTACTATCGCCTTGACTTCAAGGTGGGAAATTCTTTCGTTGAAATAAATGCATAGTAAGATGTCCCATCAGAGGACAAGCCCGTGGATGTAACCGTGAGGAATAGTACTAAAACTTGATGGATACAGAATACACAAGCGTATTGGAAGAGCGTCCGAAAGGTTCATTCTTATATTAATGTAATGATTATGAGGTAGGAAGTAAGATGAGGTAGGAAGTAAGATACAAACACCAACAATCCCGACTAATATCTAACATGATCACGCAAAAACTCGTAACCATCTTCAACAGCTTGAGCAGCCGCCTGGTCTTTCTCAAACCCAGGATAAATGTCAAACAGATGCACTGCCTTATCCACAACGCGGAGCTCGACCTCAACGCCCTTCGTAAGCAGCTCCCGCGATGTCCTCTGCGCCTGTTCCACTGGAATGAGATCATCAAGAGTCCCGTGGATTATGAAAGTGGGCGTCTTGTAACTCCCATTGCGAATTTGTGCCAGAGGGCTGACGGCTTGGATTTCCTCAAGAGTCGGAACGGGCAAGTCTTCTCCAGAGTCGTCTTTATGGTCCGACCAGAAGCGGCCTCCATGCAGCAACATAGGCAGGCTTTGTCCTTTCCAGTTCATGTGCAAGGCAATTCGACTGCGAGGATCCGCCGGTGACATCCAGCCCCCAAGGGCCTTTTGGTTGGCCGGAGGATTGTAGGCAGTGATTGGCGTGTCATGCATGCCTTCCCACAAGTTGTAGTTCATTTCTGGCGAGGCGGCATTCTTTCCATACGGGAAGTTGGGCTGGGACCAGAAAGAGTCTTCATAGTCAGTAGGCCCGTAGAATGCGAGGATAGCGTCGGGCGGGGCGATGCCCCTCTGCTCAGCAGTCCAAGCCAATGTCATAGCCAGATGAGCACCAGTAGACCAGCCAACTGCTACCACTTGGCTTCCATCCGGTTGTATGTCAGGGCGACCGAGAGACAATTTGGGCAGGATACCTCGAGCCCAGGAGAGGGCATCGCATGCATCATGCATTGGGCCTTCCGACAGAGAAACCTCTGGGCACAGTCGGTAATCCACACTGACCGGCAAGAATCCCGCATCGAGGAGCATCTTGACTTGCTTACTGCGGATGTCCCGGCGCGAAAGCATGATGTGTCCTCCGCCATGGATAAGTAGAGCTATTTGTCGAGTGTAAGAAGGAGGTTTGTCACGGTTCGAGGAAAGAGGACCGGGAAACAAGTTCGTCTACATACCAATTGGACGGGGTTTTCCAATAGGCTGAAGATCCCGGGGATAGTAAATGTCTGCGGAGAGCTCCACGCCACCATTCTTGCCATAAACGACCGTCTCCTCGTTTACGATGCGTAAGGGGCTCCCGGGGGTCGGAGGTAAAATGACGGCCGAGGTCGGCGACGCAGTGATCACCCTAAGAACATTGGATTCTTCCGAGTCATTGTGCGTCCAGTCAACCCATTGGAAACCTGACTTGGAAAGGGTTTGTTTCCATACGTGTTCGGTCGCAAGGGCGTGTTGCCGACCATCCTCGAAGAGCCACCAGCCCTCCAGCAGACCAAAGACAAGATCAAACCAGAACAAGTTGCGTGTGAGCTCGATTAGGCAAAGAATTCCGTCTGGTCGTAGAAGCTTGTTGATATTTGAACACGATTGAACAAGATTGCGGGTTGCGTGCACACAGTTGCTGGATAGGATGATGTCAAATTGACCGAGCATGTCTGGGGTAGGAGTCTGTTCAACATTGAGGACTTGATATTTCATGAAGTTGTAATGCTTGAACTTCTTGCGTGCCAGAGTCAGGAGCCCCGAGGACAGGTCCGTGAATGTGTATTGGAAGCGAAGACCAGGGACAGCAGTGAGCTGACTCAACAAAGCCTTGGTTGTGCCTCCAGTGCCACCCCCAATCTCAAGGATCTTGATTTCCCTCGTGGTATCCATGCGACCAAGCAGATTTACAAGGTATTGGGCAAGGTGGTTAGTTGCAGCCTTGAACATTGGAGCGTTCGTGTACACATCCTCCATCAGGTGACGGGCCTCTGCATCTTGGAAGAGGAGGGAGAGTGGGTCGGCTGCTCCGCTCAAGCAATCACTGAGTCGCGAGCCAGTTGTTCTGAGAAGATGGTGCTCAGATCTGTGCTGGGGATAGAGGCGAATGATTTCCTCGTGCAATACATCAGACGCAATCGTGGGTACAGGAATTGTTGTGCGCACGAAGCCACGATCGGTAGCCCGGATAAGATTCGAGAACTCCAGGATGGAATAAAGCTGGTTTCGAACCTTGCCATGCTGTTGAAGAACAGGCACTTGTGGAATAGCACAATCAGCCTCAAAACTGTCTAGGGAGACACCGAGGGACTTGAAAGCCTCTACCACATACGCTGTGACAAGGGCCATCTGCTTGGGATATACAAATTCACAAAATCCGTCCCACTGGGTCAATTGACTGTGCGCCGTGCTTCTCTGAATATCAGTGAAAAGGCCAGGCGCGATGTCGATGAGGCCGTTTATATCCGCGTCAGAAATTGGGGTTGGGATAACATGGGTATTGTTCTCCGAGTCAGCTGCAGCTGTGGTCTCGATTTGCAATGACGGGTGAACTCCATTTGTGGGAGGAGCTGCGGCATCGGGGAAAATTGTCTGCACCAGCTTTTGGATATCGGGAATTTCAATCAAGGAGGAGGCGTCAATGCTGACATTGAACCTCTTCTTTATTTCTACCAGAACCTCAGTTCGCATGAGTGAGTCAACACCAATTTCTTCGAGATTCGAGGATGGCAACAACTCCTCGGAGGCAATCCCCAGTAGATCACAGAGCATCTCTTGGACGACCACAAAGTGTCCAGCTTCTGGGGCAGGTTGGCGAGTAGACTGGACAACAGGTACTGCATTCTGAAGGCTGGGATTGATATCAACTTTGAAATTATCCTGAAAAGGCGTCTCTGGAGATGCCTTTTTGTCATCGGGTTGATTGTTCAATTTCTTGAGTACTCGTGCAAGACCAGCAATGGAAACGCTGGTGAATTCCGCAGAGAGAATGGTGACAGCAAGCGTACCCGTCTCCCGATCCAGGACAAATGTGTCACAGGTGATCTTGCTCTTAACAGATCTGTCCATGTTGGAGTATACACCCCAAGCATGCGAGGAATTGGGATCCCGTGTCATGAAGGCCTCTCCAATCAAGATTTCACCAACCCCAGTGCAGACGAAAACTTCATCTTCCTTTGTCTCCGAAAGGCAGTTGACGTGGATTCCAGCGACTTGGATGAAATTGTCGACGAGCATCGGATCACATGCGGCATCCTTTGTCTTGGACGAGAGTAGGTTCACGATTCCAGCAGCCTCATACTCGGTCGCGAACACTCGTTCAACGCCGCGATAACAATCAGCGTAATTGACAACTCTACGGAAAGCCTGGTAGACGGCAAATCCTTTGAGACCGCTCGACTCACGTGAATTGGTGATAGAGTCCACTCGGGACGAATCAATCAATCGGTTCATGGAGTGAAGGCGAACGAAGAGAGGTGTGTTCTGGCCGAAGGGGTGCAAGCTGATCTCACCCGTTGCATGCATGGTCACCGCGTTCTTGCTGGGCTCACGAGTGAAGAGAGAGAATGACCATGGAGAGTCACCAGGCCGGGTACGGGTAAGACTTAACAGAACATTTCCAGTTGGGTTGAGTACAAGGGGAGCCGAAATGGCAAGATTTTGAAGGTGAGGCATCGCGGGTGTTGTATCGTTTTCCGGGCGAATGAGTCCTGCCGCACGAACAATCATCTCAAAGTAGAGAGAGGCAGGGCAGAGGTTTTGATCAAGTACTGCATGGCCTTGTGTACATTCCTGGTAAAGAGGGTCTTTCGTGTTGATGGAAAATATACACTCGGTCGGCTGCTTGGTGAGTAGCTTGACAAACTCTTTCGGGCCACACGAAGAAGGCAAGGTTGGCTTGTCTTCTGGCAACGGCGTAAAGGCGTTTGGGTCGTATGCAATCCAGTGACGTGTTTGAGCGAACTGATAAGGCGGTAGGTTGATCCAGTTGTAACTTTTGGCTTGAGAGTCGTGGAACTGCCAGAATTGAACCTTCGCACCTCTGGACCACAGGTTGCAAGTAGCCTGTGAAAGATTTTTCTGGGCTTGTGGACCTCCCAGGTCGAGCGCCTGATAGACATGCTCTTTTGGAGAGGCTGCCACTGCGTCGATAACTCGTCGTACCAATGGGATGATGGGAGATGCGGATCCTGCCTCCAACCAGACAATAGGTTCCTGAATCCTTTGGGCCACCCGCTCAACGGCTTTCTGGAAGTCAACACGTCCGCGGCTGTGGGCCACGATCTTGCCTGGCGTGACAGAGGACCAGTCGCCATCCTGGGAACAAGCCTCAAGAGGGATAGGCAGTGGCTTGTATCGAAGCTCTTTGGCTACCTTGGTCAGAGGAGGAACAATGCTATCCACCAGGCGGGAATGGAAAGCATGTGTGTTCTTCAATCTCTTTGTGCGGAGGATGGACGGAGCTTCCGCCGACAGGTTCTGAACCAGCTGTAGAGATCGCTCATCTCCCGCCAATATAACATTGCGAGGCCCATTGATACAAGCCACATCCACTGCCACATCTGGCATATGCTGTGTCGTGCGATTCAACAAACTCTGTACCTCCGCCTCTGTCCCTTCCACTAAGAGCATAACTCCTCGCTCAGATCCCCACATGCTGTGGATCATCCTGGCTCGCTCTGAGACAAGATAGAGAGCATCTGAAAGGTTCAACCCTCCAGCGACACAGAGTCCCGTAAGTTGGCCAAAGCTATGGCCTATAATTCGGTCCACTTGCAGTCCAGAATCTATCCATGACATTGCTGATGCGTATTGGATTGCGAACAAAATGCAGTGAAGGCTGACGGTATCTTCGATTGGGCCAGGCTGGAAGATACTTGGGAAGAGGCTCGGAAGATCAAGAGTTTGGCAAACCTTTTCACATTCCATCTAAATCAGCGACGGATGTTAGCAAGCTATCAAGACAGAAGTCACAAACACGGGCAAGGAAGAACATTCCAAAGGCATACCAGGTGATATTGAAGCAGTTCACACTGATTAAACAGGTCTTCGGAAAGGGTTGCTTCATTTCCATTTTGTCCACCAAAGCATAAGATGACGGGCATAGGAGAAGCCGGTTGTTTCTTGACATCAGTGGTCTCACCTGACATCGACTCTAGCTTCGCAATAAGCTCGTTGGGTTGATTTGCGGAAATGCTGAATGTGGAAATGTAATCCATATCTCTGCTCTGCTTGATTGCCAAGTTGTAGGCGATGTCTTGACAATTGCTCAGTTGTGCATTCCGGACACTCGAAAGTAGAACTTTGCAGTATGACCTGAGTGATTCGACAGAGTTGGCTGCCAGGATAACGGGCACCTCACTAGGGGGGAGAGAGACTGGATTTAAAGGGCAAGATGTCGCTTTGTATTGTTTCACAACAAGAGCCGCATTACTTCCTGCAGCGCCGTAATTGGTCACCATTGCCACGGCATTTGAAGATGAAGTAGCGGCGGACGGCCAGTGGATTGACTTGGTTGGAATTGCGATTGTTGCATCGTCCAATGCAGGAATCTTTGGGTTCAGTTGAACAAAATTGGCTTGCTTCGGTATTTGGTGTTTTTGCATCATCAAGACAGTCTTCAGTAGGCCAGCTACCCCTGAAGCCGTTTCGGTGTGGCCGATGTTATCTTTGATAGATCCGACATGAAGCTTTTCGCTACGGGCAGGTCCTCCAAAGGCTTTGCGGATGCTGTCGAATTCAATTGGATCGCCTACCTGGGTGCCTTGTTTTTATTCGCGTCAGCGGATATATTTCAAATCGCTAGTGATGGATTCACAAACCTGTGCCATGTGCTTCAACATAAGTGACGTCTTCTGGTGGAATCCCAGATGCCACGAGGGCCTTCTGATAAAGGGATCTCTGGGAATTCGAGTCTGGGACAGTGATCGGAGAGCAGTTGGATCCCTGGTTGACCGCGGACCCGCCAATTACGGCAAGGATGGGGTCTCCGTTCCGAATTGCGTCTGCTAAGGGTCGTAACACCACCAGGCCCGCCCCCTCACCGCGACAATAACCATTCGCAGTCGCATCAAATGCCTTAGAAGCGCCGGTGGGGGAGAGGAAGGAGGCCGCCGCTAGGTTTTGGGTCACTCTCGGGCTTGTCATGACATTTACACCGCCTGCCACGGCAATAGAGCATTCATTGGTTTGTAAAGCCTGCAGCTTGTTAGAATTTGGTTACCGACTCAGTCATTTGTTTCTCGAGCTGGCCAACAACATCGTGTTTTTAGCAGTAGAATATGAGATCTTACCTTGCATGCAAGATGAATAGACACCGCAGCTGAAGAGCACGCGGTGTCAACCACTACCGATGGCCCAGTCCAACCAAAATAGTGACTAAGACGGCCAGTGCAGAACGCTTGGAGTGTCCCTGTAGCTGAAAATGCGTTCGCATGGGTTGATCCAACATTGTCAGTATAATCATCCGAGCCGACACCAACATAACAACCGATATCGCTCGGCACATTTGAGGCGCGAAGACCACAGTATCCAGCTGACTCCATAGCCTCATACCCGACCTGAAGAAGTAGTCGTTGCTGGGGGTCCATAGCATCCGCTTCTCGGGCCGAGATGCCAAAGAAGCGATGATCAAAAACATCGGGATTAGCCAGATAGTTCCCCCAAAATGGCCCCTTTGGCTCGCGAAGAAGCTTGTCCATCTCGAATCGCTCATTTGGAAGTGCGCTGACACCGCACCGCCCCAACTCGAGCATCTCCCACAGTTGCTCTGGAGAATCCACTTGGGCATATCGACATCCCATGCCGGTGATAGCAATCGGGGTTGCTGTCCCGGCGGTCGTGGCCACGTTAGTTGATGGTGCCGATCCAGCAGGGGAGGATGATTTGTGGATCCCATTTGGCAGCGGTTCGTGATGTCTGGTATCCGACAACCTGTGGTTCATGTTGTCGAGAACCCTTGTTCTGACTAGACGTGGAAGGAACTGGCCAGTCCCAATCGGAGTAAGAGCTAAGTCACCATCTGTCTCTCTCGCTTGCTTGACTGCGGCCGAAACAGTCGTAGCCCACTGGCATGGTTTGGTCAAGATTGATTCCAGGGCAATTTTGTGAACGTCACATCTTTTCCCAATCACACGGGCATCGACATTGGACCTTAGTGGAAGGACACAGGGACCAGTGTTTGCCAACCGGAACCTGTTGTCTGTCTCACAAATATTGGTAAGGTGTTGAACAGCTGTGACATGGCTCGAATGATGAAATCTTCCTTTCAGATCGATAATTTTCACCGACAACCCATGGGCTCCGAGCTCCTTAATCAACTCATCTACTCCATCCTCCGCGACTGTAACTGTGGCCGACGCTGTATCTGTAAAGCAGGAGATGTAGGCCTGTATCCCGTTGTTAGTACTCTCTCAAGAGCGCGAGCAGCCACAATGGGACAGGGATGATAATCTGAGGTAGAATAGCCAGTGGGTACACTTTGCTTGATATGTATGACGCACCGTTGAAGAGCTAGCCAACACCCGATTGAGTTGTTCATTCTCACTACCAGACTTCCATCTCACAGCAACAGATCGGGCATGACCATGCAAAACGCCATCCAGGTCAACTGCTGCTCCAATGCAAACGGCCAATCGGACCATGGTGGATGCGATATCCGAGAATTCCTCGGCATCGTTTGAGCATGCGATTGCGACCGCCGCTAAGAAGCCGACACAAAATCCCTGAGCATCCACGATTCTGCACTCGTTCTTGGAACTTTCTTTGAATTTCCACGCATCGATTATCTGTCGAATAACAGTGAGGGGCGTCAGGAGCACATTCGTGGGATTCTTGGGAGCGACTACCGCTCCCTCAACACATTCAGCGAGCACCGTAAGTTGCGCCGCTCCAGGGGTTGATGACAAAGACGCCCAGGCATCAGTAATGGTGGACCATAAAGATGGTAGTTCCCTCAAGACATCCTTGAGGAATTGCAACGCTGGATTTTCATCAACACTGCGGCTGATGTAAAATAGACTTTCGTCAATCTCGGAACTCTGGGGCCCGAAGACCAGGCAAACGGGCCGACCCGGGGTCGGTTCTGATAGTTCGACCATGGCAACTTAAGATATGTAGGGAATACTTTGAGGAATAAGACAGAAACAAAAGAAGTACAAAGTGAAGAGAATAGTCCCAAGATGGAACCTGATGTTGAACAGGTTTCGGTGTGAAGAGGGAACCTTCAATGGTGTCCTCGAGGTACATCAAGATTATAATGGAAATTCAAGGACTTAGAAAAACAAATAACGATACGACATGTGCACAATATCTCAGGTCCTAACGTATGTAACCACAGATGATAGATAGCCCGGTCTAGCAGTGTCTCTCCCTTGCTGTGTGAAAGTAAAGCTGAAAAGCCTGCGATTCTGCACGCCATATCCACCCAGGCGTGGGATCTTCAACGGATCAGCGCCTGATGGAGAGGACATAATTCTATGTGTCATTTTAACAGATGTCTAGGGCTCAATTCCTCGGAGGTGGCTGGCTGATGAAGAAACACTATGCAACGGAAACCCCGACGAGCCTCTGAGGCGTTAGACTCGCTATAATGTCACAGAAATACGTATTTTACAATTTTTTCTTTTTTTTTTTTTTTTTTT